TCGGCTCACCACAACATCCGCCTCCTGGGTTCAGGCAATTCTCCTGCCTCAGCCTCCTGAGTAGCTGGGATTACAGGCGCGCACCACCATGCCCAGCTAATTTTTTGTATTTTTAGTAGAGACGGGGTTTCACCATGTTGACCAGGATGGTCTCGATCTCTCGTGATCCACCCGCCTCGGCCTCCCAAAGTGCTGGGATTACAGGCTTGAGCCACCGCGCCTGGCCTAGAATATTTTAAGAGCACTTACAGCTCACTGATGTGAAAACAAACAACATAATAAAAATGAGCAAAGGATTTGGACACTTAACCAAAGAAGAGCTATAGATAGCAAATAAAGACATGTAAAGATTCTTGTTGTCATGGTAATTATGAAAATGCAGTTTAAAACAATACTGAGGTACCTTTGCACACCTATCACAACAGCTGCAAAACAAAAATTGACAGTATTAACTGCAGACGAGGATATCAAGTAACTGGAACTCTTAGAAGTTGCTAATAGAACTACAAAATAGTACAGCCAGTTTGAAAAGCTGTTTGGCAATTATTTAATAAGTTAAATATCTCCTTACCATATAGCACACCAATTCCACTTGTGGGTATTTTCCCAAGAGAAGCGAAAACATACCTAATACTAACACAAAACTGGAAATAATTTACGTCTATTAATTGGTATATGGAGAAACAAAATGTGGCATATAACTGTACAGTGGAATACTATTCCACAAAAAAGGAAGAAACTGCTATAAATACAGCAACATGGATGAATCCAAAAAGCTTTGTGCTGGATGAAGGAAGCCAGATCTAAAAGGCTATATAGATGGTATAATTTCATTTATGTGGAAGTCTAGACAAGGCAAAGCTATTGGTGATACCAGATCAGTGGTTGAGTGGGGTAGGGGATGAAGGGAAGGCATTGACTCTGTAAAAGGACATGTAGAATGATGAAAACAATTAATGTCATGATTATGGTTGTGGTCACATGACTGTATACATTTGCCAAAATACATTTATTTATGCACTTAAAATTGGTGAGTTTTATTGTATGTAAGCTGTATCTTAATAAAACTGATTTTAATAGACAAACCAAAGCAAAAAAACTTGAATGGTTTAAAGAGGTAAAAGGTAGGCAAAGATATAATAGGAAGATGAACAAATGTATTTGGGACGTTTCAAAATTCAAACATAATTTGATCCATGAAACTGTTAAATTCCACAAAGCATACTTTTTATTTAAGTGCTAGTAGTGTACAACTAGAAATTAACAAACTTTTATAATTTACAAACTATGGAATTTATCCCATAAAGCTGTTAGAGGGTCAAAGGAAATCAAAACTGCAAAACAGCCTATTTAAAAAGTAATAAAAATGTTAATATAATCCTATGAAATGTAGAGATGCTACTGAAGATACTCTGGGAACTTTATTCACTGCAATATTTAAAAAAACAAAGGAAAAGAGAAATTAATAATAAATATGAAGTCATAAAATGAATGTTTTTAGTACAAAGACTGACAGATCAATAGTAAATAAACCGAAAACTGAGCCTCTTCCGACTAGCTTGCCGGGAGTTTCAATTTTAATTTTTTTTCCTTGAGACCATAAATATTTCTTATATTTCTAATTCTTGGTTAGCTCTTTTGCTAATTATTTTCTTCATAGGTATCCTCACAATTTATATATATTGGTGCTACCTTACTGGTACTCACTAAAAAATTAGAAAAATTTGCATGGGCCCATTTTAACATAATGGAAATTCAAGGTTATTGAGGTATGACTAAATTCATAGAAAGAAAACAGAAGATTTTGAAAAAAATAGCAATTTTTAAATATTTTATTTTAAGTTTGGGGTACATGTGCAGGACTTGCAAGTTTATTACATAGGTAAACCTGTGCCATGGTGGTTTGCTGCACCTATCAATCCATCACCTAGGTATTAAGCCCTATCAATTAGCTATTTATCCTGATGCTCTCCCTCCCCTGACCTCCCTGGCAGGCCCCAGTATTTATTGTTCCTCTCCCTGTGTCCATGTCTTCTCACTGTTCCGCTTTCACAACATGCAGTGTTTGGTTTTCTGTTCCTGAGTAAGTTTGCCGAGGATGATGGCTTCCAGCGTCATCCATGTCTCTGCAAAGGACATGAACTTTTTACTTTTTATGGCTGCCTAGTATTCCTTGGTGTATATGTGCCACATTTTCTTTATCCAGTTTATCATCAGTGGTCATTTGGGTTAATTCCATGTCTTTGCTATTGTGAATAGTGCTGCAGTGAACATCCGTATTCATGTACCTTTACAATAGAATGATTTATATTCCTTTGGGTATATACCCAGTAATGGGATTCCTGGGTCAAATGGGATTGCTGGTTCTAGGTCTCTGAGGAATCACCACAGTGTCTTCCACAATGGTTGAACTAATTTACATTCCCACCAGCAGTATAAAAGCATTCCTATTTATCCACAGCCTCACCAGCATCTGTTGTTTCTTGATTTTTTAATAATTGCTGTTCTGACTGGTGTGAGATGGTATCTCACTGGGGTTTTGATTTGCATTTCTCTAATGATCAGTGATGTGGACCTTTTTTTCATATGTTTGTTGGCCACGTAAATGTCAATTTTTGCTTTTATTGCAATTGCTGTTGACATTTTTGTCATGAAATCTTTACCTGTGCCTATGTCCTGAATGGTATTGTCTAGATTTTCTTCTAAGGTTTTTATAGTTTTGGGTTTTACATTTAAGTGTTTAATCTGTCTTGAGGTTTTGAGTTAATTTTTGTATAAAGAATAAGGAAGGGGTCCAGTTTCAGTTTTCTGCATATGGCTAACCAGTTTTCCTAGCCCCATTTATTAAATAGGGAATTCTTTCCCTATTGCATGTTTTTGTCAGGTTTGTCAAATATAAGATAGTTGATGTGTAGTCTTATTTCTGAGATCGTATTTCTGTTCCATTGGTCTATATGTCTGTTTTTTTACCTGTACCATGCTGTTTTGTTTACTCTAGTATGGTTTGAAGTCCGGTACTGTGATGCCTCCAGCTTTGTTCTTTTTCTTGGGATTGTCTTGGCTATCCAAGCTTGTTTTTATGGTTTCATATGAATTTTAAAGTAGTTTTTTCTAATTCTGTGAAGAATGTCAGTGGTAGTTTAATAAGAATAGCATTGAATCTGTAAATTACGGATGGTATGGCTATGGGTTTGTCATCAATGGCTCTTATTTTGAGGTATGATCCATCAGTACCTTCTTTTATTGAGAGTTTTTAACATGAAGCCATGTTGAATTTTATCGAAGGCCTTTCCTGTGTCTATTGAGATAATCATGTGGTTTTTGTCTTTAGTTCTGTTTATGTGATGAATGATGTTTATTGATTTGCATATGTTGAACCAGCCTTGCATCCTGGGGATGAAGTTGACTTGATGGTGGTGGATAAGCTTTTTGATGTGCTGCTTGATTTGGTTGCCAGTATTTTATTGAGGATTTTTGCATCAATGTTCAGCAGGGATATTGGCCTGGACTTTTCTTTCTTTGTTGTGTCTCTGCCAGGTTTTGATATCAGGATAGTGCTGGCCTCATAAAATGAGTTAGGAAGAAGTCCCTCCTTTTCAATTGTTTGGAATAATTTCAGTAGAAATAGTACCAGCTCCTTTTTGAACCTCTGGTAGAATTCAGCTGTAAATCCATCTGGTCCTGGGCTTTTTTTTGTTTGTTTATTTGTAGGCTATTTATTACTGCCTCAATTTCAGAACTTGTTATTAGTCTATTCAGGGATTCAACTTCTTTCTGGTTCAGTCTTGGGAGGGTGTATGTGTCCAGGAATTTATCCATTTCTTCTAGATTTTCTAGTTTAATTGTATAGAGGTTTTTATAGTATTCCTGATGGGATCTGCATTTCTGTGGGGTCAGTGGGGATACCCCCTCTATCATTTTTATTGTGTCTATTTGATTCTTCTCTTAAGTGATTCTTGTGCCTCGGCATCTTGAGTAGCTGGGATTACAGGTATGCATCATCATAGCTGGCTAATTTTTGCATTTTCAATAGAGATGGGCTTTCACCATACTGGCCAGGCTGTTATTGAACTCCTGACCTCAAGTGATCTGCCCGCCTTGGTCTCCCAAGTGGCGTGAGCCACCATGCCCAGCCTCACTGATTTTTTTGAAGGGTTTTTTGTATCTCTATATCCTTCATTTCTGCTCTGATCTTGGTTATTTCTTGTCTTCTGCTAGCTTTGGGGTTTGGTTTTTTGTTTTATGGTTTTTTTTTTTAATATTCTGGGTTTCTTTCTTTCCTTTCTCTTTCTTTCTTTCTTTCTTTCTTTCTTTCTTTCTTTCTTTCTTTCTTTTTCTTCTGTTTTAAATTAAATATTGCTTCTAAAACAGTACATGTGTTTTTTTTTAAAAAGGAAAGGTTGTTTTTATTAGATTTTATTAGTGAAGATTTTTTTGGAGGATATGGCATTATAATTTACCCGCAAAGAACAGATCGAATTTGGAAGTATGTTTTAGATTCACAAAAGAATGGTCAAATCTTAGATATGTATTGGGATACTAGCTCTTTCAGCATTTTAAAAATCACCTTTCCATATACATTGGATGCTTTCTAACTACGTTTAAAATATAGGGAGTTTCAAAAATCAAACTCCAGTATGTATTGGTAAGTTTATTCATTTCTGGCACATTTTTTCATTTTGATTTTAGGTTCATCTTGTAGCATCGAATGTTAACATGTAACATCCGTACATCACATGTAACATTCTGCATTACAAAATGAATCCAGAGTGTTAATCCAAAATGTTAATCTGAAGTTACATTCAGAGATTATTAATGAAATTCTGGAAGCATAAATTATGAGAGTACACATCAAATACTCTAAAATAATATGACTGTATCCAGGTAAAAAAATAATCTTCCCAAGAATTTCACATTGTTGAACATTAACTGTGGGCTTTTCTTTATATAACTAATCTATGCTTAGCTGAAACTTTGTTATTATGTCTTCTTTTTTTTAGCCTGGCACTATTAGAAGCAATCTTCACTATATTAAAGAAACTACAAGTGATGATGTAAGTACTGCTAACACTAACAGCCAGAACAAGAACATGAGAATCATTAAAAACAAACTGAAGAATACACCACAGTGGTTTTTGTCCATTCTGTTTTTCAACACATCTGTTAAACTTATATACGATTCAGAATTTTAATATCAGCAGTTGGGTTTTTTTGGTCCAGTATGCTTTTGGATTTCTTAATTATACTTATTTTAAATTCTTATTTGTGATATTTATTTTCCTTTGGTGTTCATTTATTTACTGTATTTGATTTGATGGCTTTCCTTCATTGTGCTACCTTCCTTTAGTATTTGTTAATTTTCAGTTCTCAAGTCATCTTTATATTTGAGACTCTCTCTTCTCTTGATTGTTGGTTGTTTTTAACATATGTACCTCTGTAGTTTATGGGAATTGTACCTACCTGAAGCATACTGCCCCTTCTCTCTGTGCTCAGCTGCTTAATCCTGTGGGTGAAAGTCAACACAAATGGAGGTGGGAAACAGCTGTTCATCCCAACTCCTTGATTGGTCATCCCCTGGCTTATCCCCTCCTCCTCCTTATGTTACCTGACTCTGACTCTTACCGATTTTTTTCTAAAAATATATCTCATTTTAAATAATTTTAATTGGGGAAAGAGGTACAAGATTGTGCTTAGTCTGTCATTTGATTTAACTTAATATGTAATATTTAGCAGCCTTTTAGTGATATACTTGGATTAACTGCAGGGTGATCTTAGAGCTGTAGACTTTTGGTTTTAGAGTGTAATTATGAAGCAACATAAGTGACCCATGTATATTTCCTATTGGGTTACCTGAAATGTCACATTCAATGGCTCTTTTAGCAGTTTCTCAAATATCTATTAATTATGTTAGAATGTAGACCACGAAGAAAATATGTATGAGGAAAATAGCATTTGAGATTTAAGCAATTAATTCACTTCCTAAAGGCCTTTACTTTTTTCCTATGTCAATTAACTCATTTAATCTGAAGTTACATTCAGAGATTATTAATAAAATTCTGGAAGCATAGATTGTGAGAGTACTCATCAAATGCTCTAAAATAGTGTCACTGTGTCCGGGTAAAAAAGAACTAAACAATCCTCCCAATAATTCCACATTGTCAAACATTAATTAGTTGGTTTTTCTTTATATAACTAATCTATGCATATCTGAAACTTTGTTATCGTGTCTTCTTTTGGTAGCCTGACACTATTAGAAGCAATCTTCACCATATTAAAGAAACTCCAAGTGATGATGTAAGTGCTAGTAACACTAACAACCTGAAGAAGAACATGAGAGTCACTAAAAACAAGTTGAGGAATACACAGTCAGCAACTGAAAATCCTAATGGTGATGTTAGTGTAGAGGAAGACAGACAAGGAAAGCCAAATAAAAAGGTGATAAAGACGGGGCCCCAGTTCACTACACAAGACATGAAACCAGAAACTCCTGAGAAGAGGGTTGATTCTACATACCAGAAAGCACATACAAAGCCGCAACCAGGTGTTGATCATCAGAAAAATGAGAAGGCAAATGAGGAAAAAGAAAAGAATGATTTAGAAGAGGATGAAGAACTCATGCAAGCATATCAATGCCATGTAACTGAAGAAATGGCAAAGGAGATTAAGAAGAAAATAAGAAAGAAACTGAAAGAACAGTTGACTTACTTTCCCTCAGATACTTTACTCCACGAAGACAAATTGAGCAGTGAAAAAGGAAAAAAGAAAAATAAGAACGTTCCTAAAGCTGAAACAAGGTATTTTTACATTGACAAATGTCAAATATCCTCTTAGAAAAGCACTCTGTTACTTTCAGGTTTTGAATATTATTTGTGATTTAACTAAGAAAACTCTTAGACTTTTTTTGGAAATACTGCCACTAAGATAATAACCGCTAACTTTTACATAACACCTTACTGTGTACAAAATGCTTCACAAGAATTAACTTATTTCTTATGAAAGTCATCTTCATCCTATTTTGCTGATGAGGAAACTAAAGTACAGAACTAGTAAGAGGCTTGTCTCTACCCTGAACTATTCACTTACATCTGCTTTCAAAGTAATAGAAACCTCATTACTTCCCCTTTTTGGAGTTACAAATGCCTGTTTGGGTATATAAATGACAGATTTTTTTTCTTAAACAACACTAGCTCGTTGTAGAAAAACTATTTAAAGATAATCACCGTTGGCAATTTGGTATTCTAATCTTTTTCTCTATATGATGGTTATATATGTATGTACTTGTATATGGGGTGTGAGTTTAAGTGAACATATACATATTTATATGTTCTCTACTTGGAGAAAACAGTAAGATAAAAATGTCTTATAACTGCTATAATTTACTTTGGTCCCCCCTGCAGTTTTCCTTTAGAGAAACAACTTGATGTGGGAAAATTCTATATGTGATTATCCCTTGGCATTCAGGATCAATTTCCCCTAAAGCCCTTAGCTAAAAATAATTCCCCTCTTTTTAAAAGCTAGGTGACCAGTAGTAACAAAGATACAGCAAACTAGGTTGCTGCAGGGACATGATAATATATATTAGTTATCTGTTGCTCTATTTAAGAGGTTATTCCTGTAATCCCAGAACTTTGGGAGGATGAGGCAGGTGGATCACAATGTCAAGAGATTGAGACCATCCTGGCCAACATGGTGAAACCGCATCTCTACCAGCAGTACAAAAATTAGCTTGGCATGGTGGCACGTGCCTTTAGTCACAGCTACTTGAGAGGTGAGGCAGGAGAATTGCATGAACCCAGGAGGCAGAGGTTGCAGTGAGCCAAGATTATACCACTACACTCCAGCCTGGTGACAGAGCAAGACTCCTTCTCAAAAAAAGAAAAGATTATCCCAGAATTTAGCAGGTTAGGACAACAAGCATTTATTGTCTCACAGTTTCTGTGGGCCAGCAATCTGGGAGTGACTTTGCTGGGTGTCTCTGTCAATCACAGGTTACAATCAGGATGTTAGCCAGGACAGAAGTCACCTCAGGCCTTGACTTGGGAAGGATCTGTCAAGTGACATAGCTGTTAGAAGGTCTTAGAAGATCCGGGTCTAAGCTCATTCATGTGGCTGTTGGTAGGCCTCAAGTCCTGACTGGCTTTGGGCCGGGTTCCTTGCCATGTGGACTTCTCCATTTAGTCTACTCACAACGTGGCCACTTGCTTCCCAGAGCAAGGACTCTGAGAAAGCGAGAGCAAGACAGAAGTCACAGTCTTTTTGGAACCTAATATTATAAGTGGCATTCATTACTTTTATCATATTCTGTCTGTTAGAAGTAGGTCACTAGGTTCAGCCCACATTCAAAGAGGATTACACAAAGACGTGAATGTGAAGAGGTGGGGATCGGGAAGGTCCATCTTAAAGGCTGCCTACCACAGTATACTATAAATCTTCCTTTTTTTCTCATAGCTACCACCTCTGTGATAGACTGGTAAGCCATAGGCAATATGAACTACGGTTAGCTCATGATTTTTAAATAACCCATGACAGTGGCATGCAAAGTGTAGCTGTTCTTTTTTTTTTTGAGATGGCGTTTCTCTCTTGTTACCCAGGCTGGAGTGCAGTGGCACGATCTCGGCTCACCGCAACCTCCACCTCCTGGGTTCAGGCAATTCTCCTGCCTCAGCCTCCTGAGTAGCTGGGATTACAGGCACGCGCCACCATGCCCAGCTAATTTTTTGTATTTTTAGTAGAGATGGGGTTTCACCATGTTCACCAGGGTGGTCTTGATCTTTTGACCTCGTGATCCACCCGCCTCGGCCTCCCAAAGTGCTGGGATTACAGGCTTGAGCCACCGCGCCTGGCCCAGTTGTTCTTAATAGTGTTTGGTGAAGTGATCAAATAGAATGGCTTTCTGGGATGACTAATTTGAAATATTTCTCTACTCTTATTTTCCTCAACCCATTTGTTTTGAAAGATGACTAAAAATATTAGAAGTTAATTTTTTATTATTTAAATGCATATTTTTTACTTAATAAATTAAAATGTTAATAGACTGGTTTTTCTTTAAACTCAGTATGCTTCTGGGTTGCTACTTCTTACCATTTACTAGTTCATGTGGATGTAGACTTTAATTTTAGTAATAGCGTTCTGAAAATTTAGTGACTCACCAACCACTGGAAAATACAAGGAATTAATTTTTTCCTAGAAATTCCAGCCTGAGCAACATAGTGAAACTCCATCTCTACAAAAAGTACAAAAATTAGCCAGATGTTGTGGCATGTGCCTGTAGTTCCAACTATTTGGGAGGCAGAAGTAGGAAGACTGCTGGAGTCTAGGAGTTGAGGCTGCAGTGAGCTATGATTGTACCACTGCACTCCAGCTTGGGTGACAGAGCGAGAACATGTCTTATAAAAAAGAAATCAAAAGTTGTGCATGTGAAGCCTCTTGAAGACAGAACAAACCTAGAATACTTTTTATACCTTTAAATAAGTTAATTTAAAAATTTGTTGATTGATCATTTACTTGGCAGCAGGTGGACATGGTTTGATAAGTCCTATGTAAAGAAAGATCAATTGCTCATAAAATATTGATACAATTTCCCTTTCCTTTGGGGTTTAGAGCTCAATTTTAGTTGAATCACGTAACTCTTCATGAAGTGTAAAATACTACCTATATTACCTATTTGACAGCTAACCATTCTAGTGTATAAGAAAATATATGTATCTCCTAAGAGAAAATAATAGTGATTTTAGGATTATCTTTGCTTTTATTCACTGTTCACTCTGTTGCATCATGAATAATAATAATTCTTATGATAACATATCTGTAATGGCTGATACTTGGATTATATTTGTAGTACATTGACCATCTCTGGTGACACAGTTGAAGGTGAACAAAAGAAGGAGTCTCCAGTTAGACCAGTTACTTCAGATTCTCATCAAGATGATGAAATAAGCTCAAAGGAACAAAACGCAGAAGAAAGCATGGAAGATAATTCAAAACCCAAACCAAAAAAAACAAAAAAGAAGGCTAAAGCAGGTTTGTTATACAAATTAAGTGAAAAATTGTGTACCTTGCTAGAAATAACTTGATTCTAGAAATTTTAGTCCTTATAAACTAAAGGTGAAGGGAATACTTGAGAATAATCCAAAATAGAATATTTGGTACTTGTTCTTGGATTCATCTAGATTAAAACACGCATATATTTGTAGCTGTGGATCTCTGATGAGTTTGTATCACTAGAGTCTTCTCTGATTCTTTTTTTTTTTTGAGTTGTAGTCTTGCTCATTTTCCCAGGCTGGAGTGCAGTGCCTGCCACAATCTCAGCTCACTGCAACGTCCACCTCCCAGGTTTAAGCAGTTCTCCTGCCTCAACCTCCCTAGTAGCTGGGACTACAAGTGTGACCACCACACCCGGCTAATTTTTGTATTTTTAGTAGAGATGAAGTTTCACCATTTGGGCCAGTCTGGTCTTGAACTCCTGACCTCAAGTGATCCATCCGCCTCTGCCTCCCAAAGTCCTGTATACAGGCATGAGCCATCATGCCTGGCCTTCTCTGATTCTTGACATACTTTAAATTCAACTCTAAAATGATAATGACTTTGTAGTTGCTATTGTAGCATAGAGGATTTCTTCTTTAAACCACTGAGTTTATATCCTCTAAATGGTTAAGACTTGGTTCTTGAAAGCTATAAATGGTCAACAACCAATAAACATTTCTGATATTAAGGCTGCATCCTCTGTCAAACATGGTATCTTTCCGATTCCTCAGCCTAATACCACTTCTCTTTCCTTTCTCAACTTTCTCTTTCCCTTCTTGCTTTCTGTCTTCTCCTTTTTTTATTTCGTTTCTCGTATTTTTCTTTACATATTCTTATCTACTTGTACATCCTTTTTTAGTCTTTCAGTTTCCATTTCATTGGCCAAAAATTGGGATCAAAATGGTCAATTTTAGATTTTAAATATATATACATAGAAAAGCCAGGCGCGGTGGCTCACGCCTGTAATCCTAGCACTTTGGGAGGCCGAGGTGGGTGGATCATGAGGTTAAGAGATGGAGACCATCCTGGCCAACATGGTGAAACCCCGTCTCTACTAAAAATACAAAAAATTAGCTGGACATGGTGGCACATACCTGTAATCTCAGCTACTCAGGAGGCTGAGGCAGGAGAATTGCCTGAACCCAGGAGGCGGAGGTTGCAGTGAGCCGAGATTGCGCCATTGCATTCCAGCCTGGGTAACAAGAGCGAAATTCCATCTCAAAAAAAAGAAAAGCACTAAGCAGTATACTATTTTTATATGTTTATATGTATATATATTTTCATATATATGTAGCACTAAGCAGTATACTAGTTTTATATGTTTGTATGTATATATATTTTTATATATATGTAGCACTAAGCAGTATACTCATTATAAATGTTTTTAAAGTTTTTTCACAAACTGAACATACCTATAAAATCATTATCCAAATTAAGAAACAGAACCTGATTAACACCCAGAAAAATCACCTTTCCCCTAGTTGCCCTCCAGTAGTAAACACTACCTTGACATCTAACAGTTTACTTTTGCTTATTTTTTTTACTTTAATATGAATAGAATGATAAAAACTGTGCTCTTTGTTTCTGGCTTTTTTTACTCAATGTTACTTTTGTAACATTTACACTACTGTCGCTTGCATACAGTTGAGCTTATTCATTCTTAGTTCTATTTTTGTATTATTTAGATATCCATTGTGTGAATATACCACAATTAATTTACCTATTTTATTGAGGCCATTTGAGTTGTTTCTAGTTTTAGGCAATTTTAAGTAAAACTGTAATTCACATTGCAGTCACGTATTTTGGTAAGCACATGCATACCTTTATCTTGGGCATATTCTTAGGTGTAGAGTGCTATGCCATAGATTATGTATATATTTTTTTAAATAATTACTTCCAGTTTTCCAAAGTTGATTTGCCAGTTGACTCTAGCAGAATTTGAGAGTTCCAGTCACTCCAGGTCTTTACCAACATGTGATACTGTTTTTTAAAGTTTTAGTCATTCTTAGAAGTGACTAAATTCCTCATTCTTAAGGAGTGTACAGGGATAGTTCATTTTGGTAACTTGTGGAGTGTCTTCGTGTTTATTACCTATTTGGATTTTGATATTTGTAAATATATTCAAGTCTTCTATGCATTTTTTAAAGAATAGAATGTCTTTTTCTGGTTGATTTGTAGTGATAGTTTACATACCTAAATATGAGTCTATTCTCAGATATAAATACACATACACATATATATTGCAAATGTCTTTCTACTCTGGTTTGATTGTTTCTCTCTCATTGGTGTCTTTTGAAAAACAGAAATTTTTATATACTCCAGTTTATCCGTTTTTTTTTTTCTTTGATGGTAAGTGCTCTCTGTAATTTAAGAAATCTTTCCCAAGTTCTAAGATGTTTTTCTAAAAGTTTTATTTTAAAAGTTTTACTTTTCACATTTAGATATACAGTTCATCTGGAATTGGTTTTTATTTATGATAGGAAGCGCAGTGATCAAGATGTTTTTCCCATACGAAGATATATTATAATTGATCCAGTACCATTTACTGAAGAGAGTGTCTTTTTCCTTCTGTGTTTCAGTGTCACTTTTCTCATAAATAACATGACTGTGTTATGTGTGGATCAGTTTTTGTAGTCTCTATTCTTTTACATCAGACAGTTTGTACCAATACCTCCATATCTAAATAGGTCTTGCTATTTAGTATTGTACTCTAGCTTTTTCCTTCTTCATCTGCATTGCCTAGGCAGTTCTTTATTCTGCCTTTCTGTATGGATTTTAGAAGCAGCTTCTCAATTCCCCCTCTTCCTTCCTATCCCCATCCTGTCCTGCAAGCTGTGATTTTGATCTAGACTGGGTGAATCTAAAGAGATTCACAGAATAACAACTCTCTAAAGAGACTTGACATTTTTACAAAGTATTGATTCTCAGTCATTGAATTTGGCATGCACTTCAATTTATTTGTATCTTATTTAATATATCCCAGTAATATAAATTTCAGCATAATCTCTCCTTAGATTTGTTCCTAGGATTTTATGTTTCTTAATGATATTGTAAATGGCATTTAAAAATTTTTTTATTTGTTGCTGGTACATATATGTAGAAATGTATTTGATTTAAAACTTTTTAGCATTGTATCCGTTGATTTTGCTAAATTTACTTATTGCAAGAATTTATTTATTTGTTTTTGAGACAGGGTATCGCCCTGCCAACTCAGGCTGGAGTGAAGTGGCATAATCTCAGCTCACTGCAGTTTCTACTTCCTAGGTTCAAGCGACCCTCCCACCTCAGTCTTTCAAGTAGCTGGGATTACAGGCATGCACCACCATGCCCAGATAATTTTTTGTAGAGACAAGTTCTAACTATTTTTCAGGCTAGTCTCAAACTCCTGGGCTGAAGCAATTCTCCCGCGTCAGCCTCCCAGAATGCTGGGATTACAGCTGTGAGCCATCACGGCCAACAGAGTTTATTCTTACATTGTTTTGATTTTTCTACGTATAGAATCACATAATATGTTGTTAACAATCTTTTTATTGCTTCTTTTTCAATCCTTATGCCTTAGTCATGTTTCTTGCCTTGATACAAGTCAAGATTTAGCTTATTATCAGTCTTTGCCCTTTTTTTTTTAAACTTCTCTCCACTCTTTGATAGACTGTAGTTTTTGAGGGATATGTCTATTTAATTCACATTTTCAAATTTTGCATTTCTGTAGCATCTGAAAGGCTGTTCCATTTTTTTCGTTCATGGTATTGGCAGTTCGTTTTCTCTCAATTTCTTCATCAGTCTTAGGATTTTAAATTTGTGAGTCTTCAAAAACCAACCTTTAGCTTTGATTTTCTCTATCATACATTTATGTACTATTTTAGTGATTTTTTGTAAGTGTATTATTTTCCTTTTTTGTACTTACTTGGGTTTGATTTGCTATTTATTTCTAGGTTTATAAACTAGATTTTTAAGAAAGATTTCAGTCTTCTTTTATATGCATTTAAGACTTTTCATCTAAGTACTACTTCACTTGCGTCTCCAAAATTTTTAATATTGTGTATTTTTATTTAACACAAAATATTTTCTAATTTCCATTTTAATTGATCATGCATTATTTAGAGGTATGTTGCTTAGTTTCAGGCAGCAGATGCTTTTCTGGTTATCTTTTATTGGTTTCTGTCTTCCATTGTTGTCAGTTAACATGAATGATTTCAATCTTCTGAGTTTATTGAGGCCTTGCCTATGACCATTTTATGGTCAGATTTGGTAAGTATTCCATGCACACTTGAAAAGAATGCAATTTCTAAGTTGAGTGCAGTGTCCTCCGCATGTCAGTTAGGTCAAGTTTAATTGTCCTTATTTCTTATTAAATCTTTTAGTCTACTAATTCTATCGGCTATTGAGAGAAGTATTAAAATTTCCACTGTGATTTTGAGGTTATTTTTCTTCTACCTCCTTTCGTCACTTTTATCATTATGCAGCACCCTTCTTTATCTCTAATAATTCATAACCCTAAATAATTCTTTAGCCCTAAAATACAATGGGAGATTCAGTTTAGCCCTTCAGTGCTTTTCAACTTAGCCATTTAGTCTTCTGTCTCATGCAACTTCAAAATTTGGCAAATTCTTTGAGCAGGAGACTGGCTGTATGTTAGACATCCTTCTTCAGGTATCCACTTTTGTCACACTAGCCCCCATGCATGCCAAAATCTCTGCTGATTTCTCTGTCCCTCCGTAGCAACCTTCTGCCAGAAATCACACCTGGATTCTCAGCCTAGATTTGTGCCAGAATTGGTAGATGACCCAGGTGAAAAGTGACCTCTTGGTCCTTAATGTAAATTGACCACACTCTCCAGGGCATCATCTTTGCCTGTTTTGTTTCAGTCCACTTCCCCTGGCAGGTCATGGTCTACTAGCACCACAAGCCTAGGAGTTTTTACTACCTCTCTAGCTTCTCTATAGCATCAGAATTCAGTGTTCTGAGAAAAATTGGTCATGTGTTTGAGGCTTCTCAAATCTCCAGTTTTATCATTTTAGTCCTGTGGAACCACTAAGTTTTGCTGATTTCTCATTCTCTTAGCAGGGACCTTCTGCCTAAGCCAAACCCTGATCTTCAGCCCACATCTTGAATCAGCAAATGTCCCCAGAGGCAAAAACAGCTGCCAGTCCATCAGCTGACCTCTGACTGATTCTCCCTTTCTGGAATTTTAATCTGTCTAGTGTACCTTGTCTCAGTACTTTTCTGATGTCTTTAAAATTTAAAATAAGATTTTTATAATTGATTTGGCTTTTTCCAGTTGTTGATACTCAAAAGTGTTTATCTGCTGCATCTTATTGCATCCTACCTAGAAGTGGAAATTCTAGTTGGAAGTGTATTGAGTCATATATATTCCACTTAGAAAATACCTAGATAAAGTTACTTTCCTGACTTTGACTCTCTTTGTGTGTGTGTGTGTGTGTGTGTGTGTGTGTGTGTGTGTTCCTACTACTTGTTAGGAAAAATATAAACAAAGATTTTGCACCCTATTTTTATTGCATTAGTAAATGTAGCATTTTACTTTCAGATTGTGGTTTGCTGTTGTCTGGCTTTTTCTTTTTTTCCCCTTGAAATTCCTTAGTTAACCAAGTGAAATCATCATAGATCTTAAAGATTAGGTTACATGTAAATAAAACTATGGGAACAATTAATTATAACATTGATTTTTTTTTTCCATGCATGTAGTTGCACATGATAACGAAGATGTTCATGGTGATGGTGTTCACAAAATCACAAGCCGAGATAGCCCAGTTTATCCCAAATGTTTGCTTGATGATGACCTTGTCCTGGGAGTTTACATTCATCGAACTGATAGACTTAAGTCAGATTTTATGATTTCTCACCCAATGGTAAAAATTCATGTGGTTGATGAGCATACTGGTCAATATGTCAAGAAAGACGATAGGTAATTTTTTTTAATTGCACAGCCAATTCTTGAAATTGAAACTGTCTGCAGTAGAAGTCTTTTATTTTGGCATTGGTAGTTGAAAGTCAGTGGGAATAGAGTTATGGATTTGTATTAGAGAATAGTCTACTAGTTGTAGATGTTCATCAATCATTGACATTAATCAGAATATTATAGAAGAAATGGAGAACATCTAATTCAGTAATTACTCTTTTTTGTTTTGAGACAGAGTCTCGCTCTGTTGCCCGGGCTGGAGTACAGTGGCACAATGTCGATTTTATTATAAACTCTTATAAAATTCTGAAGGAGTTATTTTGTCCCAGCTCTGTATGGCAAAGGCCTAATCATACTTCTTACTTTATATTTAATCATGTGAAACCAATTGACAGTCCATTGTAAGATGGACTGTTACTTTTAAGTCTTTATTTCCAAGTTTCTAGATGGACAATCAAAGTAATTTTTCCTTTTGTATTATTATGGCTATTCATTATTTCTGATTGTCTCACCTTGTATACTACATGTTTTTTTCTCTCTCAAAATTATTAAAAAAATTAATGGAAATATCTTTTTTTACCAGGAAACGGCCTGTTTCATCTTATTATGAAAAAGAGAATGTGGATTATATTCTTCCTATTATGTCCCAGCCATATGATTTTAAACAGTTAAAATCAATACTTCCAGAGTGGGAAGAACAAATTATATTTAATGAAAATTTTCCCTATTTGCTTCGAAATTCTGATGAGAGTCCTAAAGTCATCCTGTTCTTTGAGGTATGAATTGAATAGAGCAATTCGAATTAAATGTTAGTTAATATTTAATAGCATAAATATAATCTATTATTTTTAGTAGTCTAATGCAAAAAAGTGTGAGAATTTAATCTCTAGGATTTAATGTTGGTAGAATGCTATGGAATACAAGTGAGATGCCCTTTTATAAACAACAATAGCATATTTGCTGAGCATTTACTATTGCAGTTGTTAACCATTTGGCCTACTTTGTACCATTTAATAATTACAACAACCCTGTGACTGTTAACTGTAGTGAAGTGATGAATCCACTCCATATGAATGCATTTCTCCATTTTTAAACCATTCACAAAGCATAAACTTATTTAACCATATTAGATACCCTACAATATGTGCGCTACCTGGATAAATAAAGATAAATGTACACAGATCAGTTAATTCATGCAATTTAATGTATAACCAAAAATGATGTAGAACTTCTGATATGTGAAGGGTTAGTGGTGGTTCAGAGGAGTCAGGGAAAGCTTTATGGAATAGATAGCTTTTGAGCTGACTAGTTGTTATTATATAATTTTCTTACTGAAAATGATAACAAGGTTTGGAGTAAAAGTCATTTCCCCAAAGTTACTCAAATTTTAAGTGTAAAAAATCGTGTTTGGAGATAGTTTGAACCTAAATACTACATTTCTTTTCTGTATCATATGTTCTGTCTCCATTAGCAAAAGAAAGTAGAGAAAGCCTCCCTTCCAGTGTAAGCTAGAAGGAGAAGTTTAGCATGGGAACAGCAAGAGACTTGACATAACCAATGCTGAAGATTCGTTTTGTAGTAGTATTTTTATGAACCTTGACTTTCTGGTTGTCTGTGTGTATTTATGATACAAATATTTCAATATTTACATTTGTGATTATGTTGTGTGTGATTTATATAAACCTGTGATTGTTGAAAAATAATTTGTATCTTAAGGAATTTTTTTTTGTCTTCAAAATTTGTTGTTATAATGTTTTATATTCATTTTAGTATTAAAAGATGAAGGATAGATTGTTGGATTATAAACACTTTTGGTTACTTCTTAAGTTTTCATGTAATGTGTTATTGCCTATGCAACTACTTTTTGATCTCAGCTTTTTAAGTGTTTATTGAGGACAACTGGATAATGCTTGTCACAAGTCTTTAAAACCATTATTTTACTCCTAGGTATTTATCCTAACGGAAAAATGACAAGTCCACAGAGATGTGTATGCAAGGTTGTTTATTTTAGCACTGTTTATAATAGCAAAAATTTTAGGGAGATAAAATAACCTAAAGTTAGATCAGTAAGAGAGTTGGTTAAATAAGTTATAATTTTTGTTAAATTTATGGTATTTGTAACAGAATAGTAGGCAGTCATTAACATTATGGTATTCATGTGTATGTATTGACATGAAGAGATATTCATTACATATTATATGAAAATAATTTGTGAAATAGCATTATTAGATTTATACTTTCATACATATGTTTAGGAATGCACAGAACAAGATTTATCCTGCAAACCAGATGTTAATAGTGGCTATCTATGGGTCTGAATTACAGGTTGTTTTTACTTTGCATATATGGATTTTTTATATTATGTTTTCACTGAGCATGTATTATATCTGTAAAAAATATGCGGGTATCAGAAAAACACAGAAGAATGGAGTCTATATTGTCTCTTAAGCAGTCTTCTTTCTATAAAGATCTCATTTTCACAGTTGAGCTTTTGATAAACACCAGTAAGTTCAAAGTGATAGCCTCTGATAAGTACCTAGAACACAATCTCTGTGGCAGGCGGAGTGCAAATCTATGAGCTTTTATGTCCAGACAGGATAGAGGAATGGAAGAATTCCTCTTGAGAAGCCTAATTATAACATATATCCAAAGAGAAAAACCCCAACTTTAGGAAGATGTTCCAAGGAAAGGACCGAAAAATAGGCCCATGAGTTTTTTAAACAAACAATCCTTTGAAGTCTGTTCTGATACAATACAAAATAATTAAAGCTTAAGAATTCTATGCCAGAGAGAGATCCAAGATGGCTGATTACCAGCAGCTCAGGATTGTAGCTCCCAGTGAAAACACAGAGAACGAGAGGACGCCACACTTTCAGACAAATTTTTGTTGCACACGGACCAGGAGATTCCCAGCAGAGGAGCCCCACAGGACGCCAGCGCGACTCTTGTTGCTGGCGTGGCAGTTTTGCTGGCACCTCGGCGTGGTGATTCTTGGTGCAGAGTAAATGGGACTGGGTCCCCTTTTGGTCGACGTTTGGAGCTCCGGGAAGGCCGAGTTACCTATTCAGCTGATTGGAAAAGGGACTCAAGAAGGAAGCCAGACCGGAGATTCCCAGGCAGAAAAGCACCATGAATTTTAATGCCACTGTTTTAGCCAGCGCAGTGGGTTACTCAGATTCTGGCTCTGGGAATCAACGAGCTGAACATCCACTCAGAGACCTAATTTGAAAGTCTAATTACAAAGACGACAGGTGGATAAATTTACAATGATGGGAAGAAACCAGAGTAAAAAGGCTGAGAATACCGAAAATCAGAATGCCTCTCCCTCTACAGGGGATCACAGTTCCTCATCAACAAGGGAACAAGGCCTGATGGAGAACGAGTGTGTTTCATTAACAGAATTAGGCTTCAGAAGGTGGATAATAAGAAACTTCTGTGAGTTAAAAGAACACATTCTAGCCCAAGGTAAAGAAACTAAGAACCTTGATAAAAGGTTTGAGGAAATCCTAATGAGAATAGACAATTTAGAGAGGAATATAAGTGAATTAATGGAACTGAAGAATACAGTACGAGAACTCCGTGAAGTATGCACAGGTTTTAACAGTCGAATTGATCAAGCAGAAGAAAGTATATCAGAGGTCGTAGACCAATTTAATGAAATGAAAGGAGAAGATAAGATTAGAGCAGAAAGAGTAAAAAGGAATGAGCAAAGTCTCCAAGAAACATGGAACTATGTGAAAAGACCTAATTTACATTTGATAGGTGTACCTGAATGTCATGAAGAGAATGAAGCCAAGCTGGAAAATATTCTTCAGAATATTATTCAGGAAAACTTTCCTAACCTAGTAAGCAGGACAATACTCACCTCCAGGTAATACAGAAAACACCACAAAGATATTCCTCAAGTAGAGCAACCCCAAGACACATAATCGTTAGATTCACCAGGATTGAAAAAGGAGAAAATTCTAAAGGCAGCTAGAGAGAAAGGTCAGGTTACCCATAAAGGGAGGCCTATCAGACTCAAAGCAGATCTCTCAGCAGAAACCCTACACACTAGAAGAGAATGGGGGTCAATATTCAATATCCTCAAACAAAATAATTTTCAACTCAGAATCTCATATCCAGCCAAACTAAGCTTCATAAATGAAGGAAAAATAAAATTTTTCACGAACAAGCAAGCACTCAGAGATTTCATCACCACCAGGCCTGCTTTACAAGAGCTTCTGAAAGAAGCACTATACACAGAAAGGAACAACCAGTATCAGTCATCCCAAAAACTTACCAAAAAGTAAAAAGTATCTCCATAATGAATAATCCATATCAACTAATGGGCAAAATAGCCAGCGAGCATTAAATGACAACATTCAACTCACAGATATAAATATTAATCCTAAATTTAAATGGATTAAATGCCCCAATCAAAGACACAGACAGGCAAATTGAGTAAAAAGTCAAAACCCATCGGTATGCTGTATCCAGATCTATCTCATAAGCAAGGACACACAAAGACTCACAACAAAGGGTTGGTGGAAGACTTATCAATCAAATGGAGAGCAAAAAAAAAAACAGGAGTTGTAACTTTCGTCTCTGACAAGATAGACTTTAATAGTAACAAAGACTAAAAGAAACAAAGAAGGACATTACATAATAGTAAAAGGATCAATGCCAAAACAGGAGTCAATGATCATAATTATATATGCGCCCAATATAGGAACACCCTGTTATATAAGACAAGTTCTTACTGACTTATAAAGAGACTTGGACTCCCGCACAATAATAGCGGGAGACTTTGAAGCCACATTGTTAATATTCGACTGATCAACGAGATAGAAAATGAACAGGGACATCTATGACTTGAACTCAGACCTGGAACAAGTAAACTCAGTGAATATTTATAGAATTCTTCACCCCAGGTCCACAGAACATACATTTTTCTCAGTATTACATTACACCTATTTTGAAAGTGACCACATAATTGGAAGTAAATCACTCTTCAGCATTTGTATAGCATTTCACAGACTCAAATGAAATATTGGTTGGCTGTTTGTTTGTTATTTTCTTCCCTTATTCCTTCCTGTCTCTGCTGTTAAGCACAATTATCAGCATAAAGGAGGTTTTTGATACCTGTTTTTGGATTGCATTCCAGCCTGGGCAATAGGGCAAGACTCCTGTTCTCTCTCCCCCTTTCTCTTTCTCTTTCTTTCTTTCAAAAAAAAAAAGAATTTTATGCCTAGTATAGTTGTACCTAGGTTATACTGGAGATGATTAACTCTTTGCCTTGGATTTGAAATAAATCTTGGTATTTATTAATGAAAGATTAAAAAATGGACCCTCCTTAATTGAATGAGTTAACTTTAAGGTGAATGAAGTGAGATAAAAATGTTTTTGCTTCCTGTAAAGGTAAATGTTTTTAAGTACTATACAAATTATTTTTAAATTTTTAATAATATGCCTTTAGAAAATATTAAATTTTAGGTAGCTTAACTGTGAATTTATTTGCAGATTCTTGATTTCTTAAGCATGGATGAAATTAAGAATTCTGAGATTAAAAACCAAGAATGTGGCTTTCGGAAAATTGCCTGGGCATTTCTTAAGGTATGTTTTTCATCCATTTTAAACACTTTTAAAATGGTCTTCAAATGTAAGTTGGCTGCTTACTCCCAAGTCAGTTTGGTCTCATATAAGCAGTTAGAATCTAAGGCAAGGCTGCAGGGATGAGGAGTTGTTAATTCAAGCTCGGGTTATGCTCATTTATATTCTTAAATATTTATTGATGGCCCAGTATGTGCCAGTTACACTATTTGCTTCTGAGGATGTAGCTTCTGAGGATGAAACAGCCCTGCTATTATTTATTCAATTCAACAGATATTTATTAAGACTTTTCTATGTACCAATGACTGTTCTTGTCAGTGGACTAAGATGACAAATTCCTTGAACTCATGGACTTCATATTCCAGCAATATAAACTCGCAACATTTGATTTCACAATTTATCATTTAATTATAAATTTTTATAAATATCCTAAAGAGGTACAGGATGGATGATGAATTGTGGGGTCAGGGAAAGGATTCCTGAGGAAGAGACATACTGCCACCAGTGGGGAAGAGATGGTCCATGGTAGAGGGAACAATATATGCAAAAACCCCGATATTTGAAGGAGCAGGGTTAATTCAGAAAATCAGTCTGGGCGCGGTGACTCAAGCCTGTAATTCCAGCACTTTGGGAGGCCGAGACATGTGGATCACGAGGTCGAGAGATCGAGACCATCCTGGTCAACATGGTGAAACCCCGTCTCTACTAAAAATACAAAAAATTAGCTGGGCACGGTGGTGCGTGCCTGTAATCTCAGCTACTCGGGAGGCTGAGGCAGGAGAATTGCCTGAACCCAGGAGGCGGAGGTTGCAGTGAGCCGAGATCATGCCGTTGCACTCCAGTCTGGGTAACAAGAGCGAAACTCCGTCTCAAAAAAAAAAAAAAAGAAAAAGAAAATCAAAGAAGGCCACCAAGATTGGAGGACAGAGACTGACGGGGGAGAATGGGGCATGAGGAGGTTTCTGAGGTCAACAGGATGTTAATTAGGATGATGAGGTCTTCACAGTCATTATGGCAAGAGAGAGCCATCATAGAATTTAAAGAGCAATGGGAAGCCATTATAGGATTTTAAACAAAACAAGAAAATAATCTGATTTATGTTTTAGAAGGATACATACTCTGCTATGTGGAGAACAGATTAGAGAGGGAGCAAATGTAGTTACTTGAAATCAAATTAGGAAATTCAGACAGTAGTCGAGGTAAAGAATGTCTTTGTACATTTGTCTTTGACTAGATGTCTTTGACTAGGATGTTTCAGCAAAGATGAAAGACATAGAATTTTTTTTAAAAGAAAGGATATTTTAATTTTATAATTATCTTTTATTTCTTTAAACATAAATTATGAAGAGTCTTGAGTAGTCTATTTTGTACCATCTTATAAAAACATTTTCATTTGTGTATACATTCAACAAATATTATCTATAAAATGTGAGACAGTCTGCTAAATACACTACATTCATAGATAAATTAGACATTGTATATGTATGCCTTCCAATTTAATTTCTGTACAAATGTGTTAGCTACATTGTTATGTGCTATAGAGCAGATGCTATGAAAATCCAGTTGAGACATTTAATCCATATTAGGGGTTAGAGAGAGGTTTTAGAAGTATTATAATCAAAGAACTGAATAGCAGCCAGGTTGGCTGTGGTGAGTAATTGAGAGTGGCCTTAGGAATCACCTGGTCCAGTGTACTATCTATGATCACCCTTATATAAACCTATTATGGCTTTTCTATACCACCTTCCATACTGATTTAGAGGAAAAAAAAAAAAAAAACATTTAAAAAAAAGCAAAAAGTTCACTTTCACATAGTAAACATTGCCATCTTGTGGTTTTATTAGAAACTGCATTTCTTTTATGCTAAGGTCCGTGCAGACCTGCAGTATTTACTCTAAGTTGCACTTGGGAAGCAGTAACATATTTCATAGCATTTTTACCTCTAAGTACTATATGGATTTTTATTTATTTATTCAACTTATGCCATTGGCAAAAATGGCAGTCAAGAATTCTCTGTATTTCCCCATAAAGGGTAAGGTATTCTATCTGCTTTACGTTTTCTAATACGTATCTTTTTCATTAGACTGTAAGCTTTTAAGAGTCACCAATGACTTCTTGTGGGTAAATATATTGAAAATTTTTAGTCCTTATTTTACTAGATCTTTTTGCATGTAATATATCACTCTATTGAAACCCCACCCTATAATATCACCAGCTCCCAGCATATTAATGGCAAATAGAAAGTGCTTGGTGAATATAGAGAGAATTAATCAATGATCAGGGAAAGAATGACGAAGATAAAATTCGTCTTCAAGAAAGTGGCGGCCGGGCGCGGTGGCTCACGCCTGTAATCCCAGCACTTTGGGAGGCCAAGGCAGGTGGATCATGAGGTCAACAGAGCGAGACCATCCTGGTCAACAAGGTGAAACCCGGTCTCTACTAAAAATACAAAAATTAGCTGGGCATGGTGGCGCGCGCCTGTAGCCCCAGCTACTCAGGAGGCTGAGGCAGGAGAATTGCTTGAACCCAGGAGGCAGAGGTTATGGTGAGTCGTGATCACGCCATTGCACTCCAGCCTGGGTAACAAGAGCGAAACTCCGTCTCAAAAAAAAAAAAAAAAAAAAAGAAGTGGCATGACGAATGCAGTAGCTCACACCTGTAATCCCAGCACACTGGGAGGCCAAGGTGGGCAGGTCACCTGAGGTCAGGAGTTTGAGACCAGCCTGGCCAATATGGTGAAATTCTGTCTCTACTAAAAATGCAAAAACTACCTGGGTGTGGTGTTGTGTACCTGTAATCTCAGCTACTCGCGAGGCTAAGTGGGGAGGATCGCTTGAACACAGGAAGCGGAAGTTGTAGTGAGCCATAATTGCACCACTGCACTTCAGCCTGGGCAACAGAGTGAGACTTCATTTAAAAAAAAAACAGCGTGAAGACAATTAAAATTTAGATGTTTTATTACCTATACTATTGGTTCCCGGGATGTCTTGGATAATTGTTATTACAGTAGTTCAAATGAGACTTTATTTGAATTCTCAGCTGTGCCTCAGATTCTCGGGTACTTCCACTTCTTTTGGTATATATATACATATACATATATATATATATATATATATATATATATATACCGCTATTCTTTTAAACTAAAAAGTAATAAAGCCTTATTTATTTGAGCTCAAATTATATAATTTATAACCATAATGGCAGGATCTTGGCTGAATCTTAGTTGTTTATGCATGCTAAGCAGCATATTAATGTAAACTGAATTGCCTAGTTAAATTTAAATGATCTGTGCGAAGTATGATTTAGAAGCTGGGGAATATCTTTATTTAATTACCGTGATGAGCTTTAGGGAGCTGTAGGAAGGTTTATGAAGGGAGTCTCGAGTGCTTATTAGTTAATGACTGAACATACCTATTATTTAATTTGGAACTGTTCTTTACCCGTGTGTCATTTGACACTGATGACAATGTTACCCGCTCAACTTATAACCTCCATTGTCTTTACATTCATTCCTAAAGGGGTAGGGGGAAAGATGGGCTAGTATTTTGCCATCTCTCTTTCCTTGTTGATGCATCATTCCTGAACTCATCATTCTTGAACAACATTCTGGATTTTGCCTCTGCCACTAAAGCTTCTCCAACCAAATCACCAATGATTTCTATTTGCCAAACTTATTGAACATTTTTTTAGTTATTTTGTCACATCTACGCATTTAACATACCACTCTCTTGAAACTCTGTTACCTTGGTTTTTTTGACACCATGATTTCCTAATTTTTCTTATACCAGTCTTTCAGTTTCCTTCATGGTCTTCTACCCACCTCCTTAATATCAGTTCTACTCATGGTTTCGTCTTTAACCCACTTTTCTTGGAACCACTTTTCTCACCTGTGCTTCAGATTTGTAAATGCAGTCACCTACAGGACATTTTAGCTTGGATGACTCATAGATATCTCAGATTCCCACAAACTGAATATTCTTGCTACTCTCTCTGCTACTTAAGTTGGTGGTGCCACCATCTGTCCACTATCCCAGATTTATGAACTTAAGAGTTACACTGTTTTGATAGCCATAAGACATGTGGCTGTTTGAATTCAAATTAAATATAATTAAAAATTTAGTTTCATATTTGTGCTAGCCATACTTCAAGTGTGGGGTAGCCACATGTGGATTCTTTACTCCTTAGCACAAATGTAGAGTATCCGTGTCATTATAGAAAGCTCTTGGACAATACTATCTTAGAGTCTCTCTTGACTCTTTTTTTTACTTTCCAAGTTACATAAGTCTACAAGTAACCATTGTTAAATATGTTCCCTGCACTCAGTGCCTATTCTTCTAATTTAAGATACTTCCATGTTTTGTGAGAACTGTTGGAAAGGCTTCAAACTATCTTTCTGCCTTTATTTTGTAGAGGACATAAAGGTTAGACAGACATTTCATTTCCTATTGACAGTCATGGTCTAATGAAAGAGGATGTATTCAGAGTTGGTAAGATTTTTATTTATTCTATAAAAATCTCCATTGAGGGCCAGGCGTGGTGGCTCATGCCTGTAATTCCAACGCTTTGGGAGGCTGAAGTGGGCAGATCACTTGAGGCCAAGAGTTCAAGACCAGCCTGGCCAACATGTCAAAATTCATGAGTGTACTGAAAATACAAAAATCAGCCAGGTGTGGTGGCATGTGCCTGTAATCCCAGCTACTCAGGAGGCTGAGGCATAAGAATCACTTGAACCCATGAGGTAGAGGTTGCAGTGAGCCGAGATTGCGCCATTGCACTCCAGCTTGGATAACAGAGCGAGATTCTGCCCCCAACCCCAAAAAAGACAAAAACTTCCATTAACTTAGCTTAAACATAAGTTTTGTTTAACAGCGTTTTTAAAATAGACCTTTGAAAGAAGATACACTAAAATATTGGAAAAAATGTAGCAAATGACCTGTGAGTTTAATTATCCTAAAATTATTTTAACTTTTTAAAAATATAAAACATAAAATTTTAACCATTAAAAATACTGATATTAAGCAAATTATTTCAAACAAATGTGTATTGATCACCTCCTTTGTTCAGTGTGAAATCTGGCACAATAGTGTAAATGCTATACCATCAGTCTGAAATTGTTGTACAGGTAGAAAAAGCTATCAAGAATTTTTTTTTTTTTTTTTTGAGAAGGAGTCTTGTCCTGTCACCCACGCTGGAATGCAATGGTGTGATCTTGGCTCACTGCAACCTCAGCCTCCTGGGTTCAAACGATTCTCCTGCCTCAGCCTTCCGAGTAGCTGGGATTATAGGCGCCTGCCACCATGCCCAGCTAATTTTTGTATTTTTAGTAGATACGGGATTTCAACATGTTGGCCAGGCTGATCTCGAACTCCTGACCTCGTGATCTGCCCACCTCAGCTTTCCAAAGTGCTGGGATTACAGATGTGAACCACCATGCCTGACCAGTAGGTATGTAGATTACAGTAGGTATATAGGATATTTTCCAGTAGGAAAATATTTTAAAAGCCATTTGGGTTACCTTTTGTCAGAAATGATCTGGAACTGTGCTTAACCAACTATGTCAATGTTCTTTGCTTTATAAAACTAAGACATTTCAGTTTGCCATATTAATCTTTTAAAAATGTTTCTGACTTTATTCTATTGCTTTGTTGGATATATTTATTTTCAATGAAGGTAACGTTTTATATGAATTCTTATTTTAAGCTTCTGGGAGCCAATGGAAATGCAAACATCAACTCAAAACTTCGCTTGCAGCTATATTGCCCACCTACCAAGCCTCGATCCCAATTAAGTGTTGTTGAGGTGTTTGAATGGTGGTCAAAATGTCCAAGAAATCGTTACCCATCAACACTGTATGTAACTGTAAGAGGACTGAAAGTTCCAGACTGTGTAAGTTAATAGTACATATAAGTGTATATCCTCTGTTGTTGAAATTAAATGGTGACATAATATGTTTTTCATTTCTTAAAAGATAAGGCCTCTAATAATTATTTTAGTAGATTTCTGGGATTATATCTTAAGCCTATAATACCTGATATTTAAAAGATGTGTAAATGAATTTTAAATATGAAATGCAGCTTTTAGTGTTAGGAAAAATGTTTCATTATAATTTGGTTTTCAAAAATTAAAGATAAAAAATTGATTTAAAGCAAGAGTTGAAAAATATTTTCTATAAACAGCCAGCTAGTAAATATTTTAGGCTTTGGCCCTGTAGCTTCTGTCACTTTTGCCTTCATAGTGTGAAAGTAGCTACATAGACATATGTAGGCAATAACTAAATAAATGTGTGTGATATGTTCCAATAAAAGTTTATTTATAAAAACAGGTAATAGGCCAGATTTGGTATGCAGGTTGCAGTTTGCAGACTCCTGATTTCTGGGTACATATTTCACAATATTATTCAAATAATCAGTATGTAATGTTTCTACTGCTGTTTTCCATAGATTAATATTATAAATAATCTTAGTAAAGAATTGGCCCTAAAATAAAAAACTTCCGCTTTCGTCTTATTTCTTATAGGACATTAATTTTTCAGGTCATTTGCACATTCTGTAGCTGATGTATATTGTCATGACAGAGCTGATTTGCATTGGTTTGGATGGAGTTAAATATATTACTGAAAAAATTGGATTTTTAAAACTTTAGATTTTTATGATACTAGTTCTGTGATTTTAAAGACAGAGATATGGTAGTGTATCAGAGCCATGGCATAACTCATAGGTGTTGGTGATAAGCAGCCTTTGTAGTCATATTTTTTCCTCTGAAACTTTTAAGGCTTTTTGGTCATATGACTGTAATTTTAAGCATCTTTTTTATTTTGTTTACAATAATGTACAAATAAAAGTAGAATTTTTTCTGGATTACATTTTGAAATAGTTTTATATTATTTATTTCAGTATTTTAAAAACTATATGCTAGAAAAAGAAAAAGGTGAACATGATATATAAATTTTCACATTTTGATGCATATTTAGATAAAGCCGTCTTACCGTTCTATGATGGCTCTTCAGGAGGAAAAAGGTAAACTAGTGCATTGTGAACGTCATCATGAGTCAAGTTCAGTAGACACAGAAACTGGATTAGAAGATTCAAAGGAAGTAATAAAGTGGAAACGACTCCCTGGGCAGGTGAGTGACTGATAATAGTGGAGTTTTTAGATGTTTACTTATTACCTTAAAAACTTGTTTTTATAAAGAATAGAGTGGTTTATTTTATGCATATAAGCTACGACCAGATGAAATTTATCCAAAAATCTTAATTTATTCAAACATCTAATGTAGAAATAAGAACTTACGATTCTTACTTAGTCATCTTCATTTTCTGTATTTTATGTCACATTTAACTTTCTTTCTGAAGCCAATTTTACAGACACATTTTTAAATCACTTAGAGTTTGAATAATTCAAACATAATAATATGGAGAGAATAACACTTAGATTATGCCCTTGGGGAACTTCCAGGTTAGGTGAGAAAAGAAAGCAGTTACAATGTTGTTCATTTTCAGATATACTTCAGAGAAGTCTTGACGAAATGTAGATATAAAGATAACAGTACAGATCAGCAGTTCTCAAAGTGTATTTTGGAGGCCTCTGGGAGTTCTGAGTTCTTTTCCGGGGGTCCTTGAAGTCCATTTCTTTTCATAATGATTCTAAGGTGTTATTAATCTCATTCAGATTCATTCTGTTACAAGCATGTACTAGCATTTTCTAGAGGCTAAATAACCTGATATCACAATAGAGCAGAAGCAGTTATGAAAGTCTAGATTTTATTAAGCTAGACATTGAAGTTAGCAAGTTATTTTATTTTTATTTTATTATGAAAACTTTTTTAGCTCTGGAAAACATTTTCAAGAATGTAAAGCATCTCAGAGCTAAAAACATTTGAGAATTGCAGATATGAAGAATGTGAACTAGAATGGTAGAAGAAGGGCTCATTCAACAACGGAGCTTGAGATAGACTAGGATGGCCAAGGTAGGGGTTGAGTAAAGGAGAGACAAAGAAGGTTATTTCATACAAAGACAAAGTTGTAAATAAGTGGGAAAGGACCTGTTGTATTTATTAGGCATTCAAAAGTTTGACTAGCTGGAAACTAGAGTTTGTAAAAGAGGAGCTAAAGTAGCGTAATGGATTAGGCCCATACTCCGGAGTATCTCAAATGGTAGTCTAATACTTGATTGTGAGGGATCTGAGGACTAATGGAAGGTTTTGGGGTGGGTGAGAAAAATAATAATTGTACTTCAGGATGAATTAATACAGGCAGTGGCATGGGGAGATCTCGAAATAGTAACATCAGAATTAGGTGGAAGTCATTGATGTGTGAGGTGATGAGGGTCTAACCATGGGTTAATGAATATGAGAGAAACTAAGAACCAGGATGATTTAGTGACTGACAAGGGAGTAAAGGAGGGAAAAGAGTCAGAGCTTTTGAGGACCTTTATTGTTGTTATCAGACATTCATTGAGTGTCTCTTCTGGTTAGGGCACAGTGTCAAACCCTGAGAATACAAAGAACATGGTAGTGGCTTCAGTGTTTTCATTTTCAGCCTAGGTGATTGGGCACAGAGTTTTCCGTAACTACACTTCTTACTCTAGGAGCGGCAGCAAGTGGTTATAAAGCGTCCTGACATTTCTTTCCATTTTTGTTCCCTTGTTACCCTACTCTCCCTTTTCTTAGTTATGTGGATGGAGAATGCAGAGAAAAGATAGGTAGCATGGAGTCTGGTACATACTTGACACTTAACAAATTTTGTTGAATATTTCACATTCCTAGTAGCTGGTCATAATGCTGCCTCCCAAGTTACTGCTAGATCTTGGTACTATTTGTGAAAAACTTGGTACTGATCTGTAAAGCATGCCTTTGAAGTAACAGTCTTTGAGTAGGTCCATTAAGCTTGACCCTTTGAATAATTCTTATTAGCTATATGTAGCTAATAATGGTTACTCTTAGCTAATAGTAGCTACTCATAGGATGGCTGTGATGAATATATATATATTCAAAGACATTTGTAACAAAGTACAACTTTCTTGGCATATAGTAGAAGCCCAGTATACATTTAAGTCAACTTTTTAAATTGTAAGAAACAGAAGAACTAAGGCTCACTGAAGGTTGGGAGAGATAGAATTAGGTAATAATTAAAATAAATAAAAGTAACTGGTATTTTCCACAGTAGATATTAATACCCAGAAAATTTTGGCTTCATCTGGTAGTAGAGGGTAAAAACATTAAAATTTTGAAGAAATTGTAATAATGAATGAGACCAATAAGTGTTGATTAGTTTGAAAATACATTTCGGAAGGCAGCCAAAAAGGGTTATTATTTTAAGATAGGCAAAAAGAGAATGAGCATTCATTTAAGACTTGTGGTCTTAAAAAAAAAGCTCGTGACTTTAACAAAAGTGACTTACGAATGCTGTCGTAGAATAAGGCTGTGATGTACATTCTTTTATGTAGCTGTATAGAAGCAACGTGGCAGCGACAGCTTTAGAGTATCAGATATTGAAAATTTTCTATTCATATTTAGGTGAATTAAGTACTAGTTACAACATAAAGAACAAATTCACTTTAAAAATTTCATAGGAACTCATTCTCTGTTTGCAAAGTAATTTACTATGGTTTTTCAAGATTCTGCATGCTTGTTTTTCTCTTTCTGTGAGTCTTAATAAAAGGACTTAAAAAGAACTACGGTAATTGAAATTTAAAACTAGGCTTTGCATTTTAATGTTTTCTAATTTATACTTTTTAAATGTATGTTTTTTAGGCTTGCCGTATCCCAAACAAACACCTCTTTTCACTAAATGCAGGAGAACGAGGATGTTTTTGTCTTGATTTCTCCCACAATGGAAGAATACTAGCAGCAGCTTGTGCCAGCCGGGATGGATATCCAATTATTTGTGAGTAATAATACTACCTGTTTAATCTGATCGTAGTCTGCTTGGAGGACATTCTTTAGTTTTTTAAATTCATGGAAATCTTAACTTGAGTCATCCCCTTTACTACTAAATTAAAGAAAACAGATTTCTTCAAGTAGAGAAAGTTCTTTTATAATAATTTTACACTTTTCTGTACAATAACTGTTCAGAAGTAGAATGAGAATAATCAGATGAAATATGGTAAATTTATTTTTAAAACATGCAGGAGGATTTTTGTAAACATTTTGTATTTTAAATATAGAAATTTAGGAACATGTTTTAATAACTATCATGGGGAACACTACTCCAATGCAGTTAGTTGATAGCAGTGATGATTTGAGTCACAGAAGCCTCCAAATTTGTGTGCAGTAGAATACCAGTAATTGACTCAAGAGTACCTAGATGAAAACTTCTCATTATGATAGGGAAGTCAGCAGAGAGGCCAAGAACAGTTATTTTTGTAGCTTTAGAGACTTTTTAAAGTGAGGATTATCATACTGTTCTAGACTTAGAAGTATTAAATACTCTCTCCTTTACTTCTGACTGAATAATAAAAAGTAGTTCTCCTCCGTAGAAGTAGCCAGCTCCTTGTGGATATCTGCTGTGAACACACTAGATCTTACAGAACTTTTCTCAGCTTAACACAGTTTGCTATTACTTGATTGATTCCCCCCCTTTTTTTTTCAGCAGGGACTCATAATTGACTTGATTGGTATTTATTAAATAGATATTGCTCCCCATGAAATAGTAATAAATTTAAAAAATAAAAAATTGTTTGTGTAGTTTGATTACCATTATGCCATTTTTAAAATTCACCAAGAGCCTCTATGTAGGGGGAAAAAAGATTCTTAAAAAATGCTCTGGCCAGGTACGGTGGCTCATGCCTGTAATCCCAGCACTTTGGGAGGCCAAGGCGGGCGGATCATGAGGTCAAGAGATGGAGACCATCGTGACCAACATGGTGAAACCCTGTCTCTACTAAAAAATACAAAAATTAGCTGGGCATGGTGGCTCGCGCCTGTAGTTCCAGCTACTTGGGAGGCTGAGGCAGGAGAATTGCTTGAACCTGGGAGGCTAGGTTGCAGTCAGCCGAAATTGCGTCACTGAACTCCAGCCTGGCACTTGGTGACAGAGCAAGACTCTGTCTGAAAAACAAATGCTCCTAAGTTATTAATAATAATTTATCTCTTTTGGATAGTGAAGGAGTTATTTTATTCTGATTTTGTTTTAAAAACTTTTTTAATAAATATGTTACTTTATGCTTAAATAAACTTTCTTAAAATGCTGTGTAGATTTAGATATTGCTTAAATCTCAAAAATAGAGGAGAAGGGGGAATCTTTGTCTTTGGTTTTGGACTTTTTGATTATGATGTATCTACTTGGAATTCCTTTAAGTTGTTGAATGTGCAGATCGATGTTTTCCACAAATTTGAGAAGTATTCAGTCATTATTTCTTGAAAATGTTCTGTTCTGTTTGCCCCTTTCCTCTTTCTTCTTCTGGGAGTCCCATTATGCCTGTGTTGGTACACTTGGTGGTGTCCCACAGGTCTGTGAGACTTTTCTATTTTTCTTCATTCTTTTTCTGTTTTTCAGACTGGATAATCTCAGTTGACCTATTGTCAAATTTAGTAGTTCTTTCAGTTTAGATCTTCTGTTGAGCCCCTCTAGTGAATTATTTATTTCAGTTATTGTACTTTCAACTGTAAAATTTCTAGCTGGTCTTTTTTTTTTTTTTTATAATTTCTGTCTCATTATTGATAGTCTCTTTTTTGGTGAGAAATCTTTTCACACTTTAATTCTTTAGACATGGTTTTCTTTAGATCTTTGAATATATTTATAATAGTGGATTGAAAGTCTTTGTTGAGAAAGCCCAGTATCTGTATGGACTACTTTCTTCCATGTGTATGGATCACTCTTTCCTGTTTTTTTCATTTCTCATAATTTTGTGTTGAAAACTGGATGTTTAATCCAGTGTGACCCCTCTGGAAATCAAATTCCCCCTTTTATCCCCTCACATCCACCCAGGATTTATTCTTGCAGTTAGCTTAGTGATTTTGGACTGATTCTGTAGTCTTTACTCTTTGTCATATGTTACCATTGATGTCTATGCTCAGTTAAGTTAGTGGTCAGACTGAGACCACTGTGGTGATTGTACAGAGATTTTTAAATGCCTGAGTGGATAGGTCTACTGGTCTTTGCCAAGGGACTCTGTGTGTGTTGGGGTATACATACTCAAATGCTTCAGTAGGCAGTTTACAGCTCTCCCTTAGCTTTAACATTCTATGTGTGCTGAGACTCCTCAGGTCAGCCCAAGTGAGAAGTAAAGCCTCTCAGGTCTTTCTTGGGTGTGCATATTCCCCTCACATACATGTGTGGGAATCTGTCTAGATACCCAGAAATATTTTGGAGCTTTTCAATGTTCCCTATGGACATCTCATTCCCAGTTTTTTTGTTTTGGTTTGGTTTGTTTTTTATTTTTTGTTGTTGTTTTTCATTTTAAGTTCTTTGGTGAGCCTCTTCTAAGCCTCACTTGGGACCAATGTCTTAGGCAACTGTGATATTAAATGATGCCACGGGTTGTTTTGACATGCTCTCTAAGGTTAGGGCTGTTCTCCCAGAGCGTGCTGTTAGCCAGGTCAAATAAAGGCAGGCCCTGAGAATGGATCTTTCATGGAGGGCCAGACTGTCAAATAGTAAGAAGTCTTTGGGGTTGGGACTTTGAGGGAGCTTCAGACCTGTTCTGCCCCTCCAGTGGCTGCTAGTCTCCTGATGTTTATTGGTTTTTAAGACTACTTTGAAGTTTGGGACAGGAATGAGAACTTCACAAGTTAAAACACCATAAAGCTCAATGTTCTTACCAAGATTTAGCTATTTTTCTCAAGTACTCTTCATATTTTTTGTAAGCATTGCTTAATCTTCAGAGTTCTGACAACGTTGATTTTTGCCAGTTTTTGCCAGTGTTCTTGTTGCTTCTGTGGGGAGGAGATTTTCCAAGACTCTTATTTTGCTATTCCATAAGTGTAATAGTCCCCCTTTTTCTGTAGAGGATATGTTCCAAGACGCTCAGTGGAAGCCTGAAACCTCAAGTAGCACTGAACCCGACTGCCATCAGTAGAAGCACATCTCTGCTCATATTTTCCACCCACAGATTTTTATCTTTTCCATCTTAACAAAGCACTTACCATGCACTAAAGGCCATTACTTTTGTATTGTGAGGTATGACAGTAAAACTAGCACAAACCTCTTTTTCCTTCTTCACCATTTCACAGACAGAAGATTTTTACTGTAGATCGTAGCAACCTCAACATATGATTTTTTTTCTTTTCTTTTTGGATCAAGAACTTTCACCTTTTCACTTAAAGGAGGTACTTGGTGGTTTCTCTTTTGGCATATGCCAATTGCCAACATTATTACTCTTGCATTTTGGGGCCATTATTAAGTTAAATAAGGGTTACTTGAACAGCAGCACCAGGTATCAACCAGTCTGATAACTGAGACAGCTACTAAGTTTGTAGACAGTTAGCTTCTATAGCATGGATACATTGGACACAAGATAATTCACATCCTGGTCAGATGGAGCTAGATGGCACAAGCTTTCATAACACTACTCAGAATAATGTGCATTTTAAAACTTATAAGTTATTTATTTCTGGAATTTTCCATTTAATATTTTCAGAGCATGGTTGACTGCGGGTAACTGAAACCACAGAAAGTGAAACTGCACATGAGGGGGGACTACTATTATTTCTGAACTGCTAAGTATTTGAAAGGGCAATTGATTTTTACCACTAGATGGAAGTAGAGACTTGGAAACTCTGTTTTTCTGTGTTAAGTTTATTATCTTAAATTTCGTTGTATGTTTAAACATATAGTAAAATACCCCAGTGCTTTGTATGTCTTATTGAGTCATTGTTAATTCCCTTACTATCCCTGACTACTATCCCTGTCCATTTTAGTATTAAAATTTACTTTTGATAATAGCACAATATAAATTTCTCATTACTTCAAATAATTAAATTTTTGGTTGGCATTTGGTTGATTTTCAGGTAAAACAATAACTAATGAAAGCCCAAATTATAGAATATTTTAAGTGAATTGCAATCTAATTGTTATTTATTATTCAACTGATAAATTTATTATTAAAGATTCTTAGGGAATTTCTTTAAAGAGATGAAAATAATTGATAATTGTAGCAAAATTATAACTGATAATTTTGCATGTGAATTCTTGTATAAAGCAAATGGAAAAGTATTCTTAAGTAATTTTTAAATTTTCTTTACACTGCAAATGTCTTTGGTTATTGGTTATAATTTTGCTACAGATTGCTTATGTCTAAATAATATTAAATTATGCATTTGTATATTATTGGATTAAGGATCTTCTGTCTGGAAACCTACTAATTTCTAAATATTTTCATTAGTATATGAAATTCCTTCTGGACGTTTCATGAGGGAATTGTGTGGCCACCTCAACATCATTTATGATCTTTCCTGGTCAAAAGATGATCGCTATATCCTTACTTCATCATCTGATGGTACTGCCAGGTTAGTATCCTTAAGAAGTACTTATATGCGTGCTGCTTGCCATTAAAGAAAGCCAAGAGAATATAAAGGGATATAACTACTCTTATGCTCCAGTCATATTTTACCTGTGAAGGGACTGTCATAAATATGCATTGTGCAGACTGATTCCATAAATTACAGTAACACTTTTTAAAGACATATTTCTTAAATGTCTTTAATTTATGTAGCATATTTCTAGTCCTCACCATTTTTACATGATCATTATATAAACTGATTAATGCTTTGGTATGGGGTTAGAGGTTATTAAACACCTGAGATTTTTCCTAGACCATAAGCTCTTGGTGGCAGTGATACTGTCTTCACTGCTGGCTAAATATGCACAGGCTAGAGTTCAGTGGTGCTCAATACATCACAGTAGGGGAAATAAATAAATATGTACCTTGTATTATAAGAGTTTTATAAATTGTTAAACATTTGCATTTTTCAGAATGTCAGTCTTAAAAATAATGTATCCCTTTTCAATTTAATAAGTATCACAATGAAACATTTTAAAAGCTAGCTTTTCAAGTTTCATTTATACTTTTTTTAGTTGCTTGTTCTGCCTTGAGTGTGTTCTAAAAATACTGTTAGTTTTCAGGATGCTTTTATATACTTCATTTGATTCTGACAACTGTTAGGTAGACACACATTATTCTCTCCACACACTAGGAAACTGACATGTAAACAGTTGAGATCCATGCTGAATTCATTGTCATTTACTTCTGCCTCCTACTTTCTTAACACATCATGTTACTTTTAGTGTTGGGACCACTTCTACTGATCTTGCCAACCTCCTTTTCTGTATAAAAGGTCTAATCAAGATGTTATTGTTATTGGTTAGTTTTTATTTAAATGAAAAAGATGAAAATTAGTAACAATTGACTTCCTTCTTGGTCATGCTGGGAACCTACTACTACTCCCTTTTGACAATATCCTTGAGAACCTGTGTGATCTGTTCTTTTAGCACAGACATCTGTCTGATGCCAGGCTATACTAGAGAAAAATACATAATTTTGCTAAGGGGTGACTTTGGATTTGTGAGTCTTAACATTACCTAGGCTGTCATCTCCACTGAGGAATCCTTTTACTTACCTTCACTAGGTTTTCTTTTCTCACTCCTCTGGCAGCAGATCCAGACCTTACCATGAACATTCTCCACTGTAAATTCAAATCTTCCCACTTCATTGAATGACTATCTTCAATTTAGATGAAATTTAGTCAGACATGAACATCATATAGTTCCCTCTGATTTCCCTCCTAATATCCATAGATATGTCCACTTTTACCTCTGTCCATCTCTTTTAACACAGAGGTATGAGGCTTTTTAAAGGCTATTTATCTATGCTTTTAATCTCAGTCCCTGAAAAATCTGTATTACATCTACTAGTCTGATTAGTGTCTTCCTCTCTGTCGATTATGTCTTCTCATCTTAGAACTATGCTCAAATGGCCTTATCTTAAAAGCATCATTTTCAGTTCTTCCTGCCTTCTGTACAAGCCCACTATTTTTCTTTTTCTACACTGTCAGGAGCATTCTATACATACTGTCTTTACTTCAGCCCAGTTAGTCTGGCTTTCTTTCCACCATGCTACATAAACTTCTTTTTTCAAGAGGTTGGCAGTTTCTTGCTATTTTTAAATCCATTTAGCCAGTTTAACTTCTGTTGTCTTTGTCTTCACTGTAGCAGTTGAATTATTGACCAGTCTTGAAATATTTTTAATTCATGGTTTTCATTGACAACCTCTTCTCTTTTCTTTTTATGACTCTGACAGGCTCTGTCCATTCTCTTTCTCTGGTTCATTGTCCTCTGCCGATTCTCTGTGTTTTATCCCCAGGGTCCTTTTCCTGATCATCTCCTGGTTTTATATGCTTATCCTAGTTTCTCTTACCTTCCCCAGCTTTGAATCTTGCTTATATGCTAATGACCTCTAGTGTGCACTTTTTTTTACTAATTTGACTTCCTGTTATATGTTTCCATTTGAATGGCCCATTGCTGCATCAAATCCAAAACCGAACTTACCAACCTCCTTAAATTTTGTTTACCTTTAATCTCTTATATGTATTTTAGTGACATCCTTATCCATCATCTCCCAAGCTGGAAACTCAGAGTAGTGCTCACTCTTCTTTCTTTCCCATCACTCCTTTCACATCTAACTAGCACTAAAGTCTGCTAATTCTCCCTCCTAAAAGGCTTACCATTTTGCCATATCCTCTCTATCGTGTTTGCTTTAATTCAAAGCCTACATCCCTTGCTTAAATTGTTGCTATTGACCTCAGTGTTTAGGCTCTAGGTCCTCTGTCTCTGCTGTGCTAAAAGTATCTTTCCATAACTATCATTCATAATGCTTTAATTTTTTAAAAGACTTTACCCAAGGCCGGGTGCGGTGGCTCACGCCTGTAATCGCAGCACTTCAGGAGGCTGAGGTGGGTGGATCACGAGGTCAAGAGATCGAGACCATCCTGGTCAACATGGTGAAACCCCGTCTCTACTAAAAATACAAAAAATTAGCTGGGCATGGTGGCGTGTGCCTGTAATCCCAGCTACTCAGGAGGCTGAGGCAGGAGAATTGCCTGAACTCAGGAGGCGGAGGTTGCGGTGAGCCGAGATCATGCCATTGCACTCCAGCCTGGGTAACAAGAGCAAAACTCCGTCTCAAAAAAAAAAAAAAAAAAAAAAGACTTTACCCATTGCCCATAGAAAATTTTTCCAGTTCCTTAGCGTAGCATAACAGGCATATTCCTCACTGACCCAACATTCTTCTCTCATGCCCTTCCCCTGTACCCTTTGCTTCACCCACATAATCTTTTGAAACACCCTTAGCATCTTATCTTCTTTGGCATCTTCATGCCCTTTGAAACTTACCTACTTTTTCTATACTTAAATGACCTTCTCCTGCCCTTCCTGACTAACTCACTCATTCAACAAAAATTAAGTGCCTTTTGTGAGCTCTTATAGGTTTGTAGCCATTATTTAAAATCCACCTCAAATCCTATTATTTCTTGAAGCTATCTTGAGTTTCCTCACACAATTTGTAATATATTATACTAAACCCCCTTTTATTTTTCCTTATTTATCTTTAAAACTGATACTAATTTAGGACTCTTTATATCATAAAAATAGTATTGTGAAAGCATTAACTGAGGAAAATGTTAGCATTGTGGCTAGTATAAACAACAAGGAGATTTTTCAAAGAGGTAAGGAATGCTCACAATAAATAAGCTATAGTCCAAAGGAAGAGAATTAGAATTACAAATGCTCACAAGTGGCAGAAGTATGGATTTCTGTCCATGTCTTCTCCTTCTTTATTTCTGATGATCTGTGTCACATATTATTTTTAGTGTCTTCTAAGTATTTCCCACTTGGTTAGCTCTCTGCCATATGGGTTTATCCTGAATCCCATTCTTTAGTTATCCGCATAATAATCTGTTTTTCTCAAATCAACAACTCATATTATAATCAGAAAGACTTCTCCATACGTAATGGCTCCCAAACAGGCCTATATGTCCCCACTATTGCCCCTTTTCAAATATACGTCTTGACTTTGGTATGTTTTTCCTTTTCCAAATCTACTAATTTTTATGTGAGTTTATTCAGTCTTTACAAATTTGCATTTTTTTGTTCTCTATGATCTAGTCTGATTTTTTTCCCCAAATTCATTTATATATTTATTTTAATCTCAGATTCTACCATGGCCTAGGTAACAGAAACCATCACTGATTCCAGTTCAGTTTTTACACAAAAAGCTTCACTTTTGGTTTTAAAATATTATGTGTGTTTTAATTATATTGAGCTGTTATAAAGATGTTATAAAAATGAAGCAAATGCTTCATTTCTGCCTGTTAAATAGTATTTTAAATAATGCTACTAAGATTTATTACTAGACAACTGAGGTTCTCTCTTAACTTTTTAATATTTCTTTTAAATTAGTGATTTTATTCTAATAGGCATATTTCATATAAATATGTTCATTGAAAATATACTATGGTAAAAATGTTTTTGTAGTGATTCATGTGCCTTATTTTTACTCAAAAACATGTTCTTTCACTTCCTCTATTATTAGATTGAATTCTTAGTAATTGAAGATCATATCCTATATTGTAAGCAGCTCCTGAGGAAACTCAGAATACTATACTTAAGTAGAAACTGTATTTTTTTCTCTAATCAATAATCTTGTAACAGACTTAATTTGCTTTAGTTTTAAAGCAGTAATTAAAAGGATTAATGTAAATCCTCATATTTAAAATTAAGGTGTTCTTCTAATTTTAATAAGTTAACCAAATATATTAAAAAATCCAATGCTTTACACTTATAAACCTGTCTATTGGTAGATTTCACCTCATCTTATACATTTCTAGAAATGCAGAATATCTAACAGGTTAACCTTTACAGTTTACTCATTTTTCAAGACTGTAGCAGTGATAATAATTTTTTTAAATTAGCCATTATTTAGAGGACAGGATAATGACTGTTAAACAAAAAGAGCTTGCTTAATATAGGATAGTCTTTTCTATCAAAATGTCATAATTACTTTAATGTTATTATACTTGAGAATTCAAAATACAATTTCAGTATCACTTTTAAATCTTTGAGATCTTCATTTTTACTATCTAGCTTTGAAATTACAAATATAAAAGTTAATAGACTCTGCTATTCTCTAAACCCCATGAATAAACATTTCGTAAAAGTGATATACATAACCTAAATGGGAAATGATTAAAGTTTCTTCTTATATATTTTTTGTGTATATTGAACTAAGTGCAATATTTTACTGACTGTTCGATGTGTGTTTAATCAATGGTAAAATAGGTTTAAAAAACAGTTATTAATTTTACAGTATAGATTACAATTAGTGGGTTTAATATGCTGGATAATAACTATAACAAATAACTTTGTCAAAATGTGAAAATTCCAATCATCAACTATGAGATCATCATTATATGTTTTATTGTCTTAAAACTTGGTTTGCCATTCGTTGTTTTCACTTGCTTCCTTAAGGTTCATTGGCCGTGTTGGTTCTTAGAAAAACTGTTAAAAGAAACTTCTGCTTTTCAGAAACATTATGTAACTTCTTATCCTTTTCCAGGATATGGAAAAATGAAATAAATAATACAAATACTTTCAAAGTTTTACCTCATCCTTCTTTTGTTTACACGGCTAAATTCCATCCAGCTGTAAGAGAGCTAGTAGTTACAGGATGCTATGATTCCATGATACGGATATGGAAAGTTGAGATGAGAGAGGATTCTGCCTTATTGGTCCGACAATTTGATGTTCACAAAAGTTTTATCAACTCACTTTGTTTTGATACTGAAGGTATGTCAGAGACTATGAATGAAGACCAGCTATGTGAATAATTTTTTAACCAGAATAATAGTTATTTAAGCTTGCAAGGGTTATGCACTGATAATTGTACATATTTAGGCTTATGCTTATTTTGCAGGTCATAAGATTGATTTGAAACTGAGGGAGTTCTGTTTGTAATTTTTAAGTTATTAAATTCTTAAAAATTTTTAGATTCAATTAATCTTTGCCATAACAACCAGTTATGTGCCAAATTTCATAAATATATTTCTTTGAACTGGTGATTATCATTCTTGGTTTGTTTTTTAAGAATCTTAAAATTTACAAACATATAGAAGGGAAATTTGTAATTATTTAAAGTTTTATCTTTATATAAGAATAACATAGTGGCCGGGCATGGTGGCTCACACCTGTAATCTCAGTACTTTGGGAGGCCAAGGCAGGTGGATCATGAGGTCAGAAGATCGAGACTATCCTGGCTAACATGGTGAAACCCCATCACTACTAAAAATACAAAAAATTAGCCAGGTGTGGTGGCATGCACCTGTAGTCCCAGCTACTCAGGAGGCTGAAGCAGGAGAATCACTTGAACCCAGTAGGCGGAGGTTGCAGTGAGTTGAGGTCATGCCACTGCACACCAGCCTGGGCCACACAGCGAGACTCCATCTCAAAAAAAAAAAAAAAGAAGAAGAATGTAGTTTGTTTTAAAGATGTAAAATACAAATTATTTTATTATTTGAAAGAATAAATTAATTATATCTATTAAATACTCACTTTTTTCATAATCCCAGAGACTAGTCATGTAGGCTGCCACTATAATTAATTGGTGTAGGATCCAGATCAAAAGGATAATACTGCTGATTTACCCAATTCAGCTATAGAGATGTTAATAAATTTGGAACATAATTCAGGAAAGACTGAATAGAAAGGTATCTGAAAATTAACTATGTCATAGTAGAAGTACAGATTATAAAGGAGAGATAAAGACTCTTCAACTATTTGTTCATAAGGTATTCAAATGTGCAAAAAAAAAAAAAGGAAATTGGTCCATGTTACTCCAATGGGCAGAGGTGGGCCAAAGCTGTAGAAGATAGATTTTCTTTGGTCAGAATTAGAAAGAATATTATAATACAGGAAGCATTTCACCAGTTGAATAGCTGTTTTATAAAATGCTGAATTTACAGTTGCTGAACAGCCATCTGTTAGTGGTGGTGTGTGAGATATTCCTGAGTGGGTTTGAAGTTGAACTTGATGGTTTCTGAGATCTGTCAACTTTAAGATGATTTGACTCCACATAATTGATGTTGAACTGGAATACCTGTTATTATTTTATTCATTCCCTGATCATTTGATGAGTTTCTACTGGGTCTCGGAAATTATACTAACACTATATATTAGAATATAGGTATTTTTCTAGGAATACAAAGCAGATTTACAGGTTAATAAAGATGAGAAATAATGTTACATGTTGGATGGTTCAAATTATTTGGCTTTGGCGTATGAGCCACATACACATGTACTGAGAAGCTCATTTCTTTTTGTAGTTAAATTCAGGTAAGTGACAAAGGGAAGTAAGTCATCAAAAATAATTTAAAAGAGAAAAGAATTCATTTATAGGTAATTGGGATTTGTTTGTGAGTTGCATTTTGCTTTTTGGATACCTTTGAACAGCCCTTCAATTCTTTGACTGTTTTACTGGGGTATGGTTTCCGCCAACTTCCTATTATTTGTTTCTAACTCTATGTGACTTTCATAAGTGAGTAATCTTATTTTTCTAAATAGGTCATCATATGTATTCAGGAGACTGCACAGGGGTGATTGTTGTTTGGAATACCTGTGTCAGGATTAATGATTTGGAACATTCAGTGCACCACTGGACTGTAGATAAGGTATAAAATCATATTTCATATTTTGGGATTTAAGGAAGTTGGGAAAAATCCAGTCATATAACTTTAAGATAGGATGTCAGGACATTCTGTTCTCTCATTTCAAAAAATTAAGTTTTTCATAGTCAATTATCAATAATTAGCACATCCTTCTGATGGCTGCTTAATAATATAACAACTTAGTGAAGATTTTAAAAATTTTGGCCAGGTGTTACTTTCACTTTTTTATACACCATTTGCACTATGGCATTCAATAATTCGTTGGGGGGTGACATTTATGCTAAAATGAGATGTGTGTTATATTATCATTGATAAGTAATAATTTATGTTTTCTGTTATTCATATCCTTTTTTCCTTGGTCCAGTAATATCTCTAAAAACAGTATTCTCAGTATTTTATAAACACTGGTGTCTTTCAGAATTATGTAATTATTATGGAGGTCTGTCATTTAATCACAATAATTATTTCATTTGAAATTTGCTAAATAGAAACAAATGAATAAGTTCTTTCATTTTGGGGCTAGAGTGTTTTTAAGATAGCTTGTATGTTAAACAATTTTGTTAGTGTACATTTTTTACTTTTTATTTAAAAATACAAATGAATCATTACCTTTAAATTTGTTTTATATAAATTGATTCAGTTTCTGGCTAACATGTTATACCTTTGTTCTTCAATTTTTCATAATATGACAGTAGCTGAAAAAAGATACCCTAAGTGAAAAGTAGTTTTCAGGAACTGCAGTTAAATCTGTCGAGTCTGTCAGATCTGTTTAAAAACAGTCCCTTCTGTTTTTAGAAATTCTTATCTAAATAAGAATAGAATCTTGAAAATTAATTGTACATGTGGTTTTGGATGTATAAAAATTGGAAGCTTCCTTATGTGATTTTAAACAAAAAAATTAATGTTAGAAGATGAGTTTGTTGGAAGTGCTTCTTGTTTGGGACTGACTAAATTTGAGGAAAGTAAACATAGTACAAAAACTAATTAAATTAGTTTAATTAGTTTAATGCCACATACTAATTAAATGTGGCGTTCCATAATAGAAATACAGTTCATGAGCTTTATTTTGAACCTAAACTGAAGTTACTCAGAATCCTTTTGCTAACAATTATAAAGCATCCTATACAGCAGAATTGGAAATGATATTTTAAAATTAATTTTGTACCTGAAAAAAAGCTTAACATTAGACAAACTTTTCATTAGTAGTATTTTTTTATCATTTTAGGAAATTAAAGAAACTGAGTTTAAGGGGGTTCCAATTAGTTATCTGGAGGTTCATCCCAATGGAAAACGTTTGTTAATCCATACCAAAGACAGTACTTTGAGAATTATGGATCTTCGGATGTAAGTATATTTCAGTATTGACAGGCTAAGTACTCACAGAATAAGTAATGAATTAAATTATATTTATAAAACATGGTAGTGGTTCTCAACTAGGCAGTGTCCCCACACTCACCAGGGAACATCTGGCAGTAGCTGGAGATTTTTTTTTATGTTACTTCTAGTATCTAATGAGTAGAGATAAAAAATACTGCTAAGCATCCTACAGACCATAGGACAGCTTCCCTACAACAGTTATCCAGCCCAAAATGTGAATAGTTCTGAGGCTGAAATGTAGTTAGTTGCTTTTGTTTTCACAATTTAAAAAAAAAAAAAAGGAAGTTTCTGTCTTCTACAATGATACTGACTGATACTGATATCACTATGATACTGTTATAGCATTAGTATAATATGTTACAACTGAAGGAGAGGGTTTTGATTTATACATCTGTGTTTTTTTCTTTATTTCCAAATAATGGTGAATGTAGGGAAATATCCTTACTGTAAAAGGCAAAAGCAATGCTGGGAAGTCAGCATGGACTTCTAGTACACTTTTGTTGTGGTGTTAAGAGTTTCTGTAAAATAAATGAGAGAAAGCTATTTTATTAATGTCTTTCTAGTATTTAGAAAGGCAAATGTAATTTATTTTAGTTTAATTTTGTATCTTTTTAGGGTTAACTCTTATACCCTTCAATATTTATGTAAAACACTTCAAGGAACTGTCCTGGATGCTGTGGGAGAATAAGCAAAATTAAACCATTTGTTTATAATCCAGTTGTGTACCTTCAAAATAAAACCAAAAAACTTTTAATTAAGCTAAAATGTGAGACCTTCTAGGACTGGAAGCTACTTTTTTTCCCCCCCTGTATGTAGCATCTATGCTGTGCCTGGCAGCTAGCAAGTGTTCAATATGTATTTTAATGAATATAAATTTGTAATAAAAGGACTTTATTCTTCATAGCAGCAATAGAGCTGACAACTATAATATAGTCTTCTGTTAAAAGCTCTATTGAGCAGCTGCCATTTAAGCTCAGTCTTGAAGGATGGGTAGAATTTCGACAAGATAAAATATTTCAGTAGAATAGAAAACAAAATAAAGTTCAGAAGTGAAATAATAGGCGTTTAAAGCAGAGTGAGTTAGTCTGTATGAGCATAGGTTCTTGGCAAGGAATACTGAGAGAGAATTTTAAGCAGTATAGTTTACAGCTTAATATCATGCTTGGGCTCTGCAGGACATACTACTTAGAGTTAAATACTGCCTTCTCTACCCCTTTACTAGCTGATCAATCTCTCCATGTGCCTCTTTTCTTATCTCTCAAATGAGAGAAATAATACACCATACACATAAGGGTTTTGATGGGGAATAAGCAACTTAATACATGTAAAGTATTTAAAACAGTAAAGCACATAGCAAGGACCCTAGAAAAGTTAGACCCAGTAACTCCAGATCTGGAAATTTATGTTAAGAAAATAATTATACAAGAACAGAAAATGAAACACCGCATATTCTCACTCATAGGTGGGTGATGAAAAATGAGAACACATGGACACAGAAAGGGGAGTACTAAACACTGGGGGTCTATTGGGGGGAAAAGGGGAGGGCCAGTGGGAGGGGGAGGTGGGGAGGGATAGCCTGGGGAGAAATGCCAAATGTGGGTGAAGGGGAGAAGAAAAGAAAGCACACTGCCATGTGTGTACCTACGCAACTGTCTTGCATGCTCTGCTCATGTACCCCAAAACCTATAATCCAATAAAAAATTAAAAAAAAGAAAGAAAATAATTATAAAACAGTACAAATGCTGTAATATGTATATACACACAAGATTATTTATAGAAATTGTGTTCATGGTAAGGGAAAGCTGGAAACATTCTAATGTCATCCAACAATAGATTTAATGTACCCATTAAAATGTTTATGTATAATCTATATTTTCTGACACGAAGGTCCATTATGACTTATTTTTGAGTGAAAACAGCAGATTACAGAGCAGTGTATCTAATATTCTCTCTGTAAATCAGGGACAATAATAGTACCTACCTGGCACAAAGTATGTGCTGAAATGGTGGTAACTATTATTTCATGAGTGAAAAAATATGAAGGCTTTGTACTATATTTAGTAGATGATTTAATATGTTTTATCTAATTATTTTCACAGATCAAATATTCCTTTTATTGTTTTAAAAATTCATCAGGTGGAAGAAACTATGAGTAAAAAAATTATTATTATTATTATTATTATTATTTGAGACAGAGTCTTGCTCTGTCACCCAGGCTGGAGTGCAGTGGCACGATCTCAGCTTACTGCTACCTTAACCTATTGGGTTCAAGTGATACTCCTGCCTCAGCCTCTGGAGTAGCGGGGACTACAGGCATGCGCTACCACACCCAGCTAATTTTTTGTATTTTTAGAAACGAGGTTTCACCATGTTAGCCACAATGGTCTCAATCTCCTGATCTCGTGATCCGCGCACTTCAGCCTCCCAAAGTACTGGGATTAGAGGCATCAGCCACTGCACCCAGCGAGTATAAAAATTCTATCCATTTTTTAGTAACCAGCTCAAATGCTACTTCCATAAAGTAGTCTCTCTCCATAGTTAAAATTAATTTCTTTTATCCAAGTTTGAAAAGAACTCTTCTGTTTTTCTTTTGTAGTACTTTGTACGTCCACCTTCTATTTTACGTTGACATGTTTCTTCTCTCCTGCTAAATGATAAACTCCCTGGGCTCCAGGGATTAGCTCTTGTTTATTCTGTATCCATCATATTATAGAATGTCTCCCATATGACAGATTCTCAAAAAAATGTTTGTTGAATAGAAATTAAGTATTTAAGAGAAAAAATTTTCTACCACCATTCATTTACATGGTTAAGACAGTTAAATTTGTAAAATCTTTTTTGCTTATAGATTAGCAGCAAGGAAATTTGTAGGAGCAGCAAATTATCGGGAGAAGATTCATAGTACTTTGACTCCATGTGGGACTTTCCTGTTTGCTGGAAGTGAGGATGGTATAGTGTGTGTTTGGAACCCAGAAACAGGTGAATATTTATTGAACTTTAAAAATGATTTGGGGAGGTACAGGGATTTGAAGAAGTATGAAAATTCTACCATTTTATGGAATGATTTTCAAGGAAATTCTGATTTGGGGTTTTCAATTATGTTTTTTAAGATTAGAAAGCCTTTAAAGGAACTCAGCTACAGCCTAAACTTGTATTAAATTCTGTTCTTTATTGCCTTAATATCTTTATGGATTTAGAATTTCACATTATAATTCAAGGTTTGTTCTTTCGTGGCCTATGATGAGATATTGCTGATCTTAGAAAAGTATTTAATGAAGACTGTAATGCAAAGTGTAAAACGTTACAAATTTAATTTGGAATATGACTAGGTAGACAAATTGTTAAACATCTATAATATATTTTCATTAGTAACAGAAACATACCTGTGAAAGTTTTGATGTCTGAAACTTAAATAGCAACTTACCCGAATTATTGCAATTCTTTTTTTTTTCTAATAAACAGTTACATTGGGAAGCTCACTGTGCCTCACCTTTGCTTTTCAAAAGAAAAGCTAAAGCTACATAAATGTTTTTAATAAGAAATTGAGATAATTTTATAAAATTTACTTTAAATTTTCTTTAATGAACAGTATTTGATTTTTCCTTATTTTCTTATTCCTTCTGTTAGGCATTTAGACTAATCAGCTAACTTAGGTTTTTGTGTGTTTTGTTTCCTGTACCATGTTTTGATGCTTTTGCATCAATCCAGTAGCATTAAGTGTCTCTCACCTACAATAAATGAATCTAGATTCTTTGCTTTTTGACTTCTGACTGATTTTTTTGGGTTCCACAGACCTCCACTTTAGACTTCTCTTAGGCCATAATATAGGTATCTTTCAAGCAAATGGTTACCTCAAACAGCCTCTAGAAAAAAAAATGGAAAAGTTAATCCTTCACCAAAACTAACCCAACTAGAGTTTCTCTAATTTTCGAGTCCTGTACTTTCTACCATAGTTCTACCCAGAGTTCTCTTTTATTTGGAGTTTGCCTAGTTCTGTCCAATCTCAGAGTCATATCTCTCTACTTCCTTCTGTGCCCTTTGTCTATATTTTGTGCCTTGAAAACCTCATGGAAGAGGCAGAAAGTAGAAAGAGGAGTGTCAATGCAATGCAAAATAAAGGTAATTTAATACAGTGTTAACTCAATCATTTAAAAATATTTGAGATTTTCACATAAATATGAGCATTATTACTATAAGTATTTTCTAATAAATGACAGAATAATCTTTTAACAAGACATATCTGATATACATTTTTGAATTTCTTTTTATTTAGGAGAACAAGTAGCCATGTATTCTGACCTGCCATTCAAGTCACCTATTCGAGACATTTCTTATCATCCATTTGAAAATATGGTTGCATTCTGTGCGTTTGGGCAAAATGAGCCAATTCTTCTGTATATTTATGATTTCCACGGTAAGTGTACCACTTGATAAGTAAAGAATTTGTAGAGCAACCTTTACATTTAGACTAAACCAAGAATCAGTCTGGAATTTAAATGTTGACAAAAGTACACATAACAATTGTGCACTTACATTGGAATCACAGAAAGCCACCAGTTTCTTTGTAAATCAATTTAAATAAATAGAATTTACCTAAAAATTATTTGGGAATATGTTAACTAAATGTAAAAGGTAAATAACCCTTAGGAAATACAGATCTTTAATGTTTTCAGTTAACTAGTGAGTTAATATTTTATCCTATGTTCTTACTAAAGCATATAGTTTTAATAAGTTGTAGTTTTGAGAGTTTCTTAACATAAAAAGTAGGGGGAAAATCACATGTCAGTGAAAACATCACCTGAAATGAGAAATCGAATGTCTTTCAAGCTCTGCAACTACACTAGTCTATCATTCCTGGGAATGATAAGGAAGTAAAAACTTTGGTTATATTATTTTTCAGGAACAATATGGTATTCTAAGAATTCTTTGGATTTATGCTGGTTTTCACATATTTCTTTAATTTCTATCCTGAAATTAGGATGCCACTCTTCTGCATTATACTATTAGTGGTGTCATTCTCAAAATTGCAATTCTTAGTTGGTCAATTAAGTTATAAATCTGAAGTTCTTGATTATGTATGGATTATATTATGCCTTCCTGGGTGAATTATGTTAGAAAATAATGTGTGAAATCAAGATTTAATCTTATTTTAAAGAACTTTATAGAGAAGAAATAATTTCTGTAACATGTACTTGGAATTATATAAACTATTACTGATGGTAGCATTGTCAAACAACACAGTACCATTTACTATTACAAGCAGATGTTAGCAAAAATAAACACTGCCTGATTATAGGAAAAAGCAGATGGATTCCTCACATTATTTAATGTCCAAATCTGGTGTCTAGTTTCAACATGTATCCTGAAACAGTTCTCTCTTTGTACCCACTCCAAATCTTCACATAAATGAAGAGTTATACTGAAGTACTTTATATTTGGAACTGTTATACAGGAAGTAGGCAGCAAATTATTTCCTCAGACTCTTAAGAGGTTTTATAATAGTCTTCATTCAGTTTCTAATTTGCTTTTTATGCCTTTGAAATTTTCACTACACATACACATTAAAGTTCCACTCTTGTCTTTTTCCTTCAAGCAATTTATTTTTTTGCCACTGACAGAGGATTTTATCATCAGATTAGCCCAGGATGGTTAGGTTTGCGAATTTGGTTTTTAGGCAATAAGCATAGAAGTCCATTCTAGAGGCATAGTAGTAGAAAGAGCTAAGCATTTTAGGAGTCCAAAAAATGGTATTTAGGCTTCATTCTGTTATTCTAGTGACTTTGCACAAGCTTCTTGCCTTCCTGAAGCTTCATTTTCTTGACCTGTCCTACAAGAGCTCCTGAAGGAAGCACTAAACACACACACAAGAAAAGCATCCAGTACCAGCCACTGCAAAAATGAACCAAATGGTGAAGACCAATGATACTATGAGGAAACTGCGTCCACCAACAGGCAAAACAAACAACCAGTAACAAAATGGCAGGATCAGATTCACACATAACAATATTAACATTACACGTAAATGACTTAAATGCCCCAATCAAAAGACACAGACTGGCAAACTGGGTAAAAAATCAAAACCCCTCAGTGTGCTGTATACAGGAGACTCATCTTACACACAAAGACCCACATAGACTCAAAATAAAGGGATAGAAGAAGATCTACAAAGCAAGTGGAGAGCAAAAAAAAAGCAGGAGTTGCAAGTTTAGTCTCTGATAAAATCTACTTTAATCCAACAAAGATCAGAAGAGACAAAGAAGGACAATACATAATAGTGAAAGGATTAATACAAGAAGAAGAGCTAACTCTCCTAAATATATATGCACCCAATACAGGAGTGCCCAGATACATACAGCAAGTTCTTAATGACCTAAAAAGAGACTTAGACCCCTGCACAATAATAGTGGAAGATTTTAACACTCCACTGTTAACATTAGACAGATCAACAAGACAGAAAATCAACAAGGATATACAGGACTTGAATGCAGAACTGGAGCAAGCAGACCTAATAGACATCTACAGAGCTCTCCACCCCACAGCCACAGAATATACATTCTTCTCAGCACCACATTGCACATACTCTAAAATTGACCACATAATTGGAAGTAAATCACTCCTTAGCAAATGCAAAAGAATGGAAATCATAACAGTCTCAGACCACATTGCAATCAAATTAGATCTCAGGATTAAGAAACTCACTCAAAACCGCACAACTTCATGGAAACTGAACAACTGGCTCTTGAATGTTGACTGGATAAGCAATGAAATGAAGGCAGAAATAAAGATATTCTTCGAAACCAACGAGAACGAGGACACAACATACCAGAATCTCTGGGACACATTTAAAGCAGTGTCTAGAGGGAAATTTATAGCAATAAATGCCCACATGAGAAATGAGGAAAGTTCTAAAATCAACACCCTGTCATCAAAATTGAAAGAGCTAGAGGAGCAAGATCAAAAAAAAACAAAAAAAAACTCAAAAACTAGTGGAAGACAAGAAATAACTAAGATCAGAGCAGAAATGAAGGAGATAGAGACAGAAAAAAACCCTTCAAAAAATCAATAAATCCAGGAGCTGGTTTTTCGAAAATATCAGCAAAATAGACCACTAGCCAGATTAGTAAAAAAGAAAAGACAGAAGAATCAAATACATGCAATAAAAAGTGATAAAGGGGATATCACCACAGATTCCACAGAAATACAAACTACCATCAGAGATCACTACAGACAACTCTATGCACATAAATCAGTAAACCTGGAAGAAATGGCTAAATTCGTGGACACTTGCACCCTGCCAAAACTAAACCAGGAAGAAGTTGAAACCCTGAGTAGACCAGTAACAAGGGCTGAAATTGATGCAGCAATTAATAGCCTGCCAACCAAAAAAAGTCCAGGTCTAGACAGGTTCACAGCCGAATTCTATTAAAAGGTACTATACTACTAGTACCTGTTCTGCCTGAGAGGGGTATTTGTGAAGATTCTATGCAACAATGACTGTGAAAGTGCTAGGTAAATTGATAAGCACAATATTGAAACAAAAGATAAAATGGGTTGTTCTGCTCGTCCAACAGTATACACTTGACTCTAAGAATTTCTGTTTTAATATACTGATAAGCATATCTATATGGAAAGGAGTTGAAGAGTTTATTTCTCCTCTCTTTTGCTCTTTTGGTCAGCCTTTTATTAAAGTAGGTTTCTTTCCAGGTCAATTTGTTAGAATATAAATGCATAAAATTAAAAATGTAATGTTATTCCCACACTATCTTAATGTGCAAGAGGAAGGATTTCCATGAGCATTTTAGAAATTAAAATATTCAAATAATAGGCACATTAAATTAAAATAATTTGTGCAATCTATCACAAACACATTTTTGATATGCAAATAAAAGTCTAAATGTTTCAACACATTTTTTTCCCAACTCATTGCTATTTTTAAAAAGAGGAAGCTTAGGAAGAAGTTAAGTAATCTTAACCATCCAAGATTTAGCAGAGTTCTTGTGATGGTATAGTTCCATAAGAAAAGTGTAATATTTATTACTAACCTATTAGAGTTTGTCTTGTATTTTATTTTTTAATACAGAAATATTTTGCTCATAATTTTTTGTTTGAAAATAAAGATTATATATGGCTTTACATAAATACTTTAATAGTATAAAATTCAAAAACACAAAAGAGTTAAGAGATGTTAAAGAGATGTTTATCAGAGCTTCTGATGATTTTCAAGGAAAATGGAGCAAGCTTTTTTTTTAATAAGCGAAATAAGTTGTGAATGAGACCACAGTGGTAGCTAAATGTATCATCCATCTTTCAGTTCTAGCAAAATCTGTGAAGAGTTAGCAAGCATCTTTCCCTGTTAAGCATATGTTCAGGCTGTGGTCTTTTGGGTCTTTCATTCTGCTGACTTTTTGCTTTTTTTGGTAAGAAATATGATTTTTACTTTCAGAAGACAGTTCTGTTTGCCTGATGTTGAAAGGGTTAATCATCCAGTAATACAAAATTTAGTCACAGAGTACCACAAATAATGTACTTTTAGGATTCCCATAATAACAGAGTACTACTCAGAGAAACGGCTTCTACTGAATTAAATTTATGAAGCTGGACTTCAGCAGTTAATGTTTTGTTATTAATCAATATTTATTCACCCCAGTCTCTAGGATATTGTTTTAAATTTAATCATAATTATAGTTAATACTTATATAGCACTTTCTGTGTTCCTAGAACTGTTTTAAGCATTTTACATAGATTTAATTCTGCAATAGTCTTATGACATAGGGGCTATTATCCTCTCTTTATTGGAGCCACAGCTTTAAATCACTGCAGTTTGGTCTTGGAGTCCATGCACTTATTTGCTACACTAAATTTCCTTTTGAGCAAATTTCTTGTAATACTAGTTTCTAAATGTGTGATAATCAAATCTTGTTTTTTCTATAGTACAGTTTTTTCTGTTTCTCTCTGGAGTATGAAGTTTCTTTGTATTTTCTGTACTTTGTACGAAGCAAAGATGGAAGCTTGTTCATCTTTTTTCTGCTAGTACCTACTCTGAATACTGACGCATAATAAATATGCATGTAGTGTTTTAAGTGGAGTCAAGTCTAATTTGGGAAGTTATCAGCATGATTTGATAATTCTACGTAATGAGGCTGATTTTTCACTAGGTGGCAATGTCTCACCTGAGCCAATATTAACTCTGGAGTGCTTTGTAGTCATAATATCTTAGACAAATTTTTGTTAAGCACCTGTTGTGTGTCAAGTTGAGCTGGGCTATGAAACCCAGGAATGAGACTCAGGTTACTGTGCTGTTTTCTAGTCCTTTGTGCTTCCTATGTAGTTTTTAAACTAAAAAGAAATTTAAACTAAAAAGCAGTTTCCACAACTGACATGATTTTATTAATACATTTCGTATTAATGATAACC